AAGCAATTGATGATCAGCTGGACATGGTGGCTCATGCCTGTAATCCCAGCACTTTGGGAGGCCAAGGCGAGTGGCTCACCTGAGGTCACGAGTTCAAGACCAGGCTGGCCAATGTGTTGAAACCCCATCTCTACTAAAAATACAAAAATTAGCTGGGTGTGGTGGCGGACACCTGTAATTCCAGCTTCTGGGGAGGCTGAGGCAGGAGAATTGCTTGAACCCAAGAGGCGGAGGTTGCAGTGAGCTGAGATAGTGCCATTGCACTCCAGGCTGGGTGACAAGAGCGAAACACTGTCTCAAAAAAAAAAAAAAAAAGCAAGCAATTGATGATCAAGTAGGATCCACCTAGTCACCTGGCATATAGGACCCACCTAGTCACCTGGTATTTGCAGGGGCAGAGAGGGAGGCAGAGACAGGGTCTCACTCTGTTGCTGACACTGGAGTACAGTGGCACGATTATGACTCGCAGCCTCAACTTCCTTGGCTCAAAGGTTTGATCTTTTTGAGGTATAAATCGGGTAATAATGTTTTCAAGTGTAGGTTTAAACAAGAATTTCGAGCAGTTTCTCAGCCACATGTTAAAGCCGCTTGGAGAGACTTCTGAAAATCCCTGGAGATTTCTATATCATTGATCTGGGGTGCTGCCTGAGCAATAGTTTTGTGTTTGTTGTTTATATTTTCTTTTGTTTTTGGAAACAGTCTTGAACTTACAGAGTTTGAATCTGTATGATTTTAAAAAGCCTTTGTTCCCCCGAGTCATTTGAGAATTAACTGCTGATCCAATGCTCCATCACCTGTAGCCTTTTCACCAATAGTATAGTATATTTCTAACAAAAAGAACCTTCTGGTGTAGAACTACAATATAATCATCAAAGGAAAAAATTAGCACACTGATAATTACTACCACTTCAGCTGCATTCAAGGTGTGACATTTGCCACACACTGCATTTGGTTGTTACGTCTTTTCATTCTCCTTTCATTTGGAACAGTACCTCAGTCCTTCCTTGACTATCATGGCCTTAAAACTTTTGAAGATTGCAGGCCAGTTATTTTGTAGAACGCCTCTGAATGCGGAGTTGTCTGATGGTTCGTTTGATGGCACTCAGGTTACACACATTTAAAAGGGGTATCACAGAATTGATGCTGTGGTCTTCTTACCCGTCATGTAACTCACAGTTTAAATTTGTCCCATTGCTGACGATGTTCACATGGATTACTTGATTAAGGTGGTATCTTGACAGGCCTCTCCTTTACATAATTACCTTTTCAACCCTTTATGACAAGTATTTTTTGGGGAGATGCTTTGAAACTATGTTACTATTCAATTCCTCATCATTTCAGTTTATTCATTTGTTTATTTCTGTATGAACTTGTGTTTTCCTATTTTCTACAATGCCTTATAGTCTCTTACTATAATTATTTATTTTGATGCTGATGTTGTTCCAAATTTAGCTTGTAGGAGCACATCACACTGTCTTTTGTGGCCATTAGACGGATCCCATCACACTTGGAGCACTCCTTTGCTTCTTGGCAAATGTACATTCCAAGTTCATCTTGTACTTTCCTTATCCTACCCCGAGAATTAGCTCTTTTTCTAGAGAACTGTGGTTTATTTAGTGAAGAATGGTATTTAGAAGCCACAAACAAGGGTGCTAAGTGTGTTCATTGTTATTTGGATGTTGCTTGTTCTGTAGCCCTCAGAGTGACAGAGCTAAAGAAGTAAGAGTGTGTGTGTGTGTGTGTGTGTGTGTGTGTGTGTGTGTGTGTGTAGGAATATATACTCACATATGTACACAAAGTTACAGCTAATATTATGTCTATATATATTGAAAACTATGAGTTCATGCCAATAATTTAGATCCAACCCCAGAGTTCATTTGAGTTTTCTCCCTTTTCTTCCATTTGTGTAACTTACTTTCTCAACAGTGAGGAACCTGGGTGTCATTATTCTTAATATACTTAAATAGTCCATCAGTCTCCTCTATGTAACCCATCTCCATCACCACCCCCATGAGTGCCTTCTCTGTGTAGACTCCCATTGCTCTCTGCTTGGCTCTGACTCAGAATAGGGATTTTTTTAAAGCTCCTCAAATGGTGCTAATATGTAGCCTAGATAGAGAACACAACTGAATTAGAAGAAAGGTGAAACCCACACTATTTGATTTATTATAAAGTAAATGGCAGGTTTTTAAGCCGAGTTTGGCAAAGTAGATTCTTCCTAAGGAAGTGAAATTTAAAGAGAAGACTCAATCCTACCAAGATGAATGATAAAAAACAAAACAAAACAAAAAACGGGGTGAAAGTATGGCCTATCTCCTGGAAAGCTTTGAAATATATTTGTTTTAGAAATGAACTTACTTCTGTTGAGCATGAATTTCAGTCTGTTGCCCTGAATTGCCTATTTATAGGGAAAATATTTGAAAAGGTTAGTTTGTTTTTGAAGAATGTGTTTCACTGAAACTTATTCCATTTTGTTTTATAGTATTTTATTTTGAGACAGAGTATTGCTCTTATTGCCCAGGCTGGAGTGCAGTGGCGTGATCTCGGTTCACTGCAAACTCTGCCTCCCAGATTCAAGCAATTCTTTTACCTCAGCCTCCTGAATAACTGCGATTACAGGCACCTGCCACCACGCCCAGCTAATTTTTGTGTTTTTAATAGAGATGGGGTTTCACCATGTTGGCCAGGCTGGTCTCAAACTCCTGACCTCAGGTGATCCACTCCCATTGGCCTCCCAAAGTGCTGAGATTACAGGTGTGAGTCACTGCACCCAGCCAACATTGCATTTTTAAAAATAAACTTTTAATTTTAGAATAATTTTAGATTTAGAAAAAAAAAATGACAACCTAAAATTTTTATTTGTAAACAAATCTTTAAACAGGAAAATTCAGGCTATTGTTGCTCCTTTTTTTTTTTTTTTTTTGAGATGGAGTTTTGCTCTTGTTAACCAGGCTGGAGTGCAATGGCGCGATCTCGGCTCACCACAACCTCCGCCTCTTCAGGCAGTTCTCCTGCCTCAGTCTCCCGAGTAGCTGGGATTACAGGCACGCGCCACCATGCCCAGCTAATTTTTTGTATTTTTAGTAGAGACAGGATTTCACCATGTTGCTCCTTTTCTGTAGTGGGTTTCACTGTAAAATGTGGAAGCCAAATTACAGCAGCTTGGGCATGAGGAACCCCATCCACTCCTTCCACTTGCAGCACGAGGAAGCAAAGCGTTTAGAGCCAAATAGAACAGGATCTGTGGCCAGCCTACCTGAGATGGTCAACATCCATCTTAACAGTTTTTGTAAATCCATTTTCTTAAAGGAGGGCACTTGCTGCTGCAGGTGGATATTCTCCACGTGTTTCGCACCTAGACAGAGGCACACAATCTGACTCCAAAGAAATCCTGCCTTAAGGAAATTTCAGTAAAATTTTGTCCTTGGTTGCATGGAGTCTGCATGTTAGGCTTTTATATCTTTATACCCAGAGGTGCAGGAGAAAGGCTAATATCTGAATGTGGACAGAGTGACAACATGTAGGTAAAATAATTTTTAAGTCTTTTTTCTATAAATAAAACATTATTATGTATTCACAAGAACCCCCCTCGGTTTTCATCCGTGGTTCCTTTTGTATAGTTTCAGTATGTTAAACTAGATCTCTGCTTCCCAAACTTGAGTCCTTCAGGAACCACCTTAACCTGTCATTCACTTAACCTTTCATTTGACTCACTTGTAACTCGGCCTTATTCTAGGTGGTATCTGTGAAACCATGGGTTTGTTATCTGTTCGGTATTTGTGAGGACCTGGGAACTCTTTTAACTCTCCTAGCAATGAAATTGCATAAGCATAGAGTCTGGGGTTTCCCACTGTGAGCTTTGAAGTTAAGGCGGTTGGTTGAGTGTATGGTTTTTCCCAGTTGATACATAGAGTGAAAATTGACAGCATTCCAATAAATGTTACTTTTCAAGTGTGTGCTGTAAATTATATTCTCTTAATTTCTTAAGATTCAGAATATCTGTCTAACTAGAATGTTTACGATTGTATATCATTTTTATTTGAATTCACTGGAGCAAAACCTGATTAGTTCAGTTCATGTATACAGGAAAATGTAACAGTGAATTTACCCAATAGGGAATACATTTGTTTGTTTATTTATTTATTTCTGAGGCTGAGTCTGGCCCTGTTGCCTGGGCTGGAGTGCAGTGTCGCTATCTCAGCTCACTGCAGTCTCTGCCTCCTGGGTTCCAGTGACTCTCCTGCCTCAGCCCCCAAAGTAGCTGGGACTACAGGAGCGTGCCACTGCACCTGGCTAATTTTCATATATTTAGTAGAGATGGGGTTTCATTGTGTTGACCAGGCTGGTCTCAAACTCCTGACCTCAAATGATCTGCCTGGCTTGGCCTCCCAGAGTGCTAGGATTACAGGTGTAAGCCACCACGCCGGGCCCGGAATACACTGATTTATAGGACTCTCAGTTCCTGCCTTAAAAACACAAGTAGAAAATATATAAAACATATAGTATTAATAAATACAGAGAAAAAGTTTAGAATGCAGAACATAGAGCTTTATGTTCACCACTCTGAAGATGTCTTGGGAAAACACCTAACTTAGGATAAATACGTATGTCCCATAATTGAGTTAATATATTCTGCATTATCTCTGAGGAATGCTGCTCAGAAGCCATCTGGATATTGTCATATTCAAATCAGGTCCTTTGCTGAGTGGAAATACATTCATTAATCGTGTGTGTGTGTGTTTTCTTTTAGGTAGGTATTATAAAAGCTCACCTTAACAGGCTTCTTTGAAACTAAACTTAATGTCACATTTTGCAAAAGGGGTGACAAACCAAGATGTGGGAATAATGTGAGTTTTATGCATCCTTTTGGTTTAAATGAAATCCTGTGTTCTACTCAGGTGAAATGCCGTGTTGCACACTGTTTACAAGCATTTACTTCGCTACAGAAATGAGTTGTGACTGTAGATGTATAACCTTGTGCTATGATGTTACTTTAACAGAGAGAAGGAGCAAGAAAGGGAAGAACAGTTAATGGAAGACAAGAAAAGGAAGAAAGAGGATAAAAAGAAAAAAGAAGCCACTCAGAAGGTGAGTTTCATTAATTAAGTCTGTCTTTCTATCTGCCAGGCATCGAGAATAAGAAACTGTCTTGGCTTGAATACCCAATATCTCAATAATGGTACTTGAGATGTTAGATTACTTAAAAGTTTTCATATTTAGAAGCAGGAGAAAGTTCAAGGTCTGCATTTGTTACCATAAAGTAGAGGTTAAATAATGCTGTGGCTGATTTGTTGAAAATAACAGTAAACAGTATTGAGGCTCATTTGTTGAAAACAACAGTAAACAGTATTGAGAAAGGCAAGAGAGTTTTCAGACTCTCAACTCTTGTTGTATTTCCTTATTTGTATATTAATTTAATCTACATTTTCTTAAGCAAGCCTACAGAATGACTTTTAAAAACTGGCTGGAGGTTGCTCCAGTGTTCTTTCAGTTCATCCATTGTGCTGTTGTCTAGATGAGTCTACCTTTGGAGAATTCCATATAGAAACCCCGTTGGAAAGGTAGATGTGAGCCCATGTAGTGCTTTGGAGGATAAGGCATTGCATGGCTTTGAGGAATTGCTTGGAGAAAACAGAAGAGATGCTAAAAGTATAAGGCAGAGGGCTGATGGCTGTCTCCTGTAAGGTCTCAGGTGTGCGGTTTGTCCAGCAGAGTTGTCCAAGGCAGAGTGGCTAGAATGCGCCTGCCCTCCCCATTGGCTTCAGAGCATGCCCCTTTGCCCTGGCCATTGTCTGATCTTACCTGCTTCCCGCACCTTACCATTCTTTTTGCATCTCTTAACTTGGGCTCTGGCTCAGCAGGGGTTTCTTTGGTGCTTTTTTTTTGGAGGCAAGGTGATTTTCAGCCAGCTGTTGTCACCACTGCATGAAGCATTTGGGAAGCAGGACCTACTGTGGGATAGGTTTGAGGGTCCCTGCTATCGTGCTAGCTATTGAAGCTAAGTTTAGAGAGGAAGCAACTGTGGCAAGGTTCAGGGGAAACCCTAGATTTAGAACAGAGTCAAGGCAATCAAACACAAGCCACTGCACATTTTGCCAGCATTATTGGATATAGCATTTCTCATAATTCAGTTTTTTGAATTACTGAAATAATCATGTGTTAGTATCAGCATAAGAAAAATCCTGAAAATATTTTCTGAGTTGAATAGCGTATCTCCCTGCCATGTTCAATATATGAAATGTAATTTTATCTTTTCTTCATAACTTAATTAAAAGGAGCATTCATTATTATTTGATCCTATAACAGACTGCTGTGCTCTTTAAGATTTTGTCTGCTTTTAATTGTATTTGTTTCTATTAATAATGGTAGATTCTCCATCACATCTTCATGCTGTCAGGGTACCTGCTTCAAATATGTTGCTTCTCATCTGAGTTAGAATTGCCTAAAATTCTGGAGTGAAAAGTGTGAATAAAGAAGCCAGATTGCTCGGTGCCATGGCTCATGCCTGTAATTGCAACACTTTGGGAGGCCAAGGCAGGCAGATCGCTTGAGTCCAGGAGTTCGACACCAGCCTTGCCAACATGAAAACCCCATCTCCACCAAAAAAATACAAAAAAAATTAGCTGGGTGTGGTGGTGCACACCTGTGGTCCCAGCTACTTGGGAAGCTGAGGTGGGAGGATCACTTGAGCCCAGAAGGTGGAGGTTGCAATGAGAGGATGATATCTTGTGTTCCCTCTTCCCACCACCAAAAAAAACATAGAAGTCAGATAACAGCCCAGAGCCTTTTTTGTACTTGCCTGTGGGTCTGTGGCCACATGCCCTGTCACTGAGGTTGCAATATACAGGTCCACCAGCCATGGGGTGTTCATATCATTGCCCCTGTGGCTTCTGGGCTCTTGTCCATGTGCCTCACACATATTGCGCCCTCCATATCCAACTGGAGTGATGTGAGATTAAACCTCTGTGAAAGTTTTCTTTCCTTGGGACACTCACACATTGCATCTACTAAATTGGTACAAAAATCGGATTTTGCAGTCTGTTGAAATGGGTGGTTAATAGACTGGGCACCAAGGAACTTGAGCAAAGGCTGTTAACAAGACGATGCCAGAGAGTGATCTAGAGAGCATATATTCCTTCTTCATTTTTAACATACATAGCAGTGTTTTCTTAAACTACAAATATCAATATCTAAAATGATTAATAAAATATGTATCTGTAAACTTTAATCGGATTCCGCAGAGAAAAATGACTTAAAGATTGTGTGAATGTACTTGAGAGTGAATGAGATTATTTATGCAGAGAATGTAGTTTATGTAGCTGGACAGTCTCTCCTGTGTGCTTGCATGTGCATTAAGAACCGATTAAGAAGTGATGGCAAAGGGGAAAATCACTGTAAATAAAATTTTGAAGTGATAAATTATGAACAGCAAAAATTCTATCATTTTTGCTCAAAAATGTTATTGATCAGCTTGACACAGGATGTAGGCTGACACAGGCTGATGCATGGCCTTTGATCTTGTTTTATTATACTGAACCATTGCATAATTTCAGAATTAAATTCTGATTTAGCAGTTTTAAGGAGAGCACAAAGCTTACCATGTGATTATCTTCGTGGTTTCCAACCTTTTTGTAGAGACAACGCCTCAACCAGGAGCCATAAAATGTGCTATGATGCAAAGAATTATAGAGAATGTGCCAGAGGTCTGTCATGTGATCAATCGTTCATTCATTCAGTCCACAAACATTTGTGGTGCCTCTTCTAAAGGCTTCCACATCTTTCATGCTGCTTTCCCCAGGGCTTTATAATCATCTCTTTGTGTCCATCTTCAGTGTTAGACCGACTGTAAGTTTCTTGGTTTTATTTGTATTTGTATCAGCAGTAACTAGTGCAGTGCCTGGTGCAGAATAATCACTCAGAAATTGTTTAATAAGTGAATGGTCAAGAATGAAGGTGGAAACGTATTTTTCTTGAAGAATTGACCTACATTTAAAGCTAAAACTAAATTACTTCCACACAGAAATTAAGCATGAACTTTTTCCAGTGTTCAATGGTTGTGGCAGTTGGCTCTTCCAAAGAGCCATTGCTGGGTAAACTGTTCATGAGAGGTGTCAGAGAAGGATTTCGTTCACATTCATTTAGGCTGATGCTGCTAAAGGAGCATTGTTTCGTGTTGGCAGAACACATGCTTTGATCATCCAGCTTTTCACCATCTGGGGGGAAACTCTTAACAGAACCCACATTATAAAACATATCTGACATTATTTGGGTTTGTTGCTTACAGTGGGAAGGCACTGACTTCCTGTATAACTGATCTTCAGAATGGCGTTCTAAGCAATATTTACAATGGCATTAAACCTAAATTGCCTTCAGGAATTGGTATGTGGCCACACGTCATTCATTCTTGGTTAAGTGGATATATAGAAAAATTGTACAAGAATATTTTCAGTAGAATTGTGCTCTGTAACAGTTATTCATTTTAAGACACTGGGTTTCACAAATTCACTATGATAGAATTAGCTTGTCATTTAACACAGGAATGTAGGAAACACACCAGGAAGTTCTACAGGCAGGTCTTTGAACTTATATTTAGAATCTTTCAGTGTGCTGGGATCCATGGGAAGTGGGCTGGTCAGCTATAGGACCTTCCTTCGAAAGATGATCGTGTTTCTGTGAACCCCCATGGATGTAATCCAGTATGATTACCAGCTACGATTTATTAAACTTCTTTGCTATATGAATATTTTTATTAAAAAAGTCAGATAATCAATATAAAAATGCTTTAGAAGATTAACTGTTGGGAAATGGGTCAGAATCACCCATGATCTCAGTAACTTAATGTAACCACTATTGGAAAGACAGCATAGTTTCTTTTGGATGTTTTGCTTGGGTATCACCTTTGTGGTTTTGTTTTTATAAATTAGATGCCCTTTTTTATTTTCCCCTCTTAAAAATATCAGAAGCTGTTTTCCATAAGGCTCCTAATTATCATGTCCAAACTCTCTAAAGTCCATTACTATAGTTAGCCTGTCCAACCTTCTAGGTTAATCATTTCCATAGATGTATTAGTTACTATACAAAGAAATACCTTTTTTTTAACAGAGCACCCTTGATTTGTCCAAAATTTACATATTTCAATGTTACTGATATATTTCATGGTATTTTATATAAGCATTGATACTAACAGCAAACATTTATTGAACACTGCATAGAATATCTGATTTAATCCTTACAGCAGTCCTTTGCAGGGATATACTGTTATTACCTCCATTCAGTAGATAATAGAAAACTGGGGATCACATAGCCAGAAAGTGACAAGGCTTGGTTTTGAATCCTGCTTTCCGACCATGCTGTCTGATGCCTCTAATGATGAGTCCCTGAGGTTTTGCTTTTTAGATTTGAGATCAAGTGTTTGTGCCTATATTCTTAGGGGAATCTTTTTGTGTCTATGGCTAATTTAGCTTCTGGGCCACATTCATGTGATTTTTCTCTAGTCATAGCGATCAAAATGCAAGTAGCGTTCTCAGTACAGAGACCTCATCATATAATGAGAGGAATGCTTTTTTTTTTTTTTTTTTTTTTTAAAGTTTTACTATTTTTCCTAATGGTGGTCATGTAAATTATAACTGGACATAAGGCTAGTCTTTGGAAGGATGTCTGAACTGACTCCCAGCTCCTTTTTCTGGATTTTGGCTATGCCTGTGTATCTGTCTGACAGCTTGAATTGCTTGAGTTATCAGAATTAAAGTAGTCTGAAAATATAGTAATGAATTAAAAAGCAAATCTCATTTACTTTTATTTGTTTATTTTGCAGGTCACGGAACAAAAAACCAAAGGTAAGACTTTTTTTTCTTTTTAAATTATTTAGAACCTTTTGTGTTTAGCTTTTACACTGTTGCTGACTCAGCCTCCAATCCACTGAATAGAGAGTGAGCGTAGAGTCATTATTGTGGGTTGTTTGCAGTCACTGAAGAGCAGTCATGACAAATTGAAAATACTTGTATTAGTGTTTCTAGTTGGCCTTAAATTTTCTAGGACGCAAAAGAGTAAATACCTTGTTTTAAAAAGTATATGGGTCATGGCTGGGCAGAGTGGTTTACACCTTTAATCCCAGCACTTTGGGAGCCTGCATCACTTGAGGTCAGGAGTTCTAGACCAACCTGGCCAAATTGATAACACCTCATCTCTACTAAAAATAAAAAATTAGCCAGGCGTAGTGGCTCATGCCTGTAATCCCAGTTCCTTGGGAGGCTGAGGCATGAGAATTGCTTGAACCTGGGAGGCGGAGGTCGCAGTGAGCAGAGATCATGCCACTGCACTCCAGCCTAGGTGACAGAGTAAGACTCCATCTCAAAAAAAAAAAGTATGTGGGTCATGATTTTGAATTGAACCTTTTCAAAACTTTTTTTTTTAGAATAATAGCAAAAAACAAACACCAGCTTTTAATTTACAGATGGGAATTGCAACGGTCTGTCAACCACCTTGACCCTTGGCATGCATTGAGTCTGATAATGGAATATTGCACCTAGGATGTTTACTCTGCCTTCTGAGCTAGAACTTAGAATATGCTTTTTTAAATGATAATACATTTTGAGTCGCTTAACTGTTAAAAAAATAGTGACTTGTTGTAAACTGAAGCAGGTGCCCCTCGGGTCGTTCTCAACCTAATAGTCCATGTTATTTTGTCTTCTTGCTCTCCTTTTAATTTTGATCATGTAGTTTTGTCTGGTGATTGTCACACCTTTTGCTCATTTCCCCTTCAGAATGAGAGAGTTAATTCTTCGGAATAGCTCCTTTCCTTGCCCACCTAAATATGTGTTTCACAGTTAGATATGCCTAAGAATCATTTGCATAAAATTGTCAAAATACACAGTCCCAGGCCATGGCCCTAGCAGATGTATTTTGAAAAGCTCTGCAGGTGACCCCAGTACATGTCCCTGGTTGAGAATCACTGCCTTGGATGAAGGGAATTAGATATGACTGTGATGACTTGGAGAAGGATAAGGGTGATGGAGAGGTCAAGGCTTGATGGGAGGCCCTGTAATGATTAGTTTATTCATTGTTTCGTTTTATTGGACTACCAGGCCAAAGCCTGTCACACAGTGATGAAAGAGTGTAAGAGAGTGCTAATCTGTTAGGAAATTTAGTTATGGAAAATAAATTCTCAGATAATTAGGCGTTACTATAATAAATTTCTAACCAAAAGACCTTTCAAAGGAGAATGTAGTCTGGGAGTTTGTAGTGATGTATTTAAAAAAAAAAAAAAACCATAATTATTAGTTATAATTAATTGGTTATAGAGAATAGCATTCTGCCCTTGTACATTTCCTCAATTTCAGCCCAGAAGTAGGCTTTATTGTGGAAGGATCTTTGAAAATTACTTGCTTGAAATATAAATGATACTTTACCATAGAAATAGTGTTATCCACAATGGTACAGCATACTTTCTAGAAAAGGATTTGGGCACTTAAGTATTGATATTTTTAGGACTTTTTGATGATTTATGGGGACAATGGATGAGAAAATTGGCATTTTCCTGGACAGTTCAGACTCTGGTTTCTGGAACATGGCGGTTGGGTTCCTAGGCCTGGCCACAAGACTGATGCTTACAGAGTCAAGTGTTAGTTGTGCTGTAGAACTGAGCTGCTCTGTATGATAAGTGATGTTGGGGAACAGAAAACCTGTTAGGCATTCTTTTCTTACAGAAAAAAATTTGGGAGGGACACCAAACCTATTCTCAAACACGTTCTTCTTTCTTCTACCACTCTTAAAAATCAAACTTTCTACTCACCAATTTTTTTTTTTTTTCCAGTTGAGGACTTTCTCATACCTACTGGGTAATGGAATACAACTTCACAGTCTCCCTACTCTCCCTGCCTCGCATCCCTCCAGTCAAAAAATAATGTAAAATAATCCCAAGGGAGATGAGAGGCCATCTCAGTTTCCTAAGGGATTTAATCATTAGACAGCAAGTCAAAAATACCAGTTGTCCCTGTGGTATATTAGACTGTAAACAGAGGGAGGCCCACCTTTCTAGTGTTGGGTCCAGGTTTATAGCCACATCTTCATCTTTATTCCCGAGACCCAACCTTGGTACTCTAAATCTCCTTCTTCTCTTACCTCAGCTGAACATGACTGGGGGACATGTTCCTCTTCCCAAAGATGGTATCTTCCTCAGGCAACCTCCCCTTCATTCTCAATCCACCTATCTTTCTGCAGTAGATGCTAGAAGCACAAAGACAATACTGTTGGTACCAAGTCCCTGGTTGTGTAGAGGACTAAAGTGAGATTTTTCTGTATTTTAGAGTAGTAGTATATTAATTGTATATTCTTCCTGTATTCTCCACCATTTAAAAAAAAATTATGTGAGCCAGACACACGGTGGTTCACACCTGTAATCCTAGAACTTTGCGAGGCCAGGGTGGGCGTATCATGAGGTCAGGAGTTCGAGACCAGACTGACCAACAAGGTGAAACCCTGTCTCTACTAAAAATACAAAAAAAAAAAATAGCTGGGCATGGTGGCACGCACCTGTAATCCCAGCTACTCAGGAAACTGAAGCAGGAGACTCGCTTGAACCCCAGAGGCAGAGTTTGCAGTGAGCCAAGATCCCAGCCTGGGAAACAGAGCAGGATGCCATCTCAGAAAAAAAAAAAGAAAGTGAAAATACTCAGAATAATAGGACAGATTTCAAGTGGAGGTTATGAGAAGACATAGCTAGAGCTGGCTTGCTACCCAGGTATCAAATAATAGAAAGCACTTAAGGTAGGAGCTAATATCCACCTTCATTAGATTTTAGAGTAGAATTGAAAAAGTTTGAGGAATTGATATAATCATTCAGCTTTAACAGTGATGAAGTTTAGGATTAAGTTTAGGATTTAAAAGCCCAATTGCATAAACTATATAATGGAAGAGGTTGGACATAGAAATTTATCCTTGTTAAAAAGATGTTAGGGAGCAGGCACTATAGCTCAGGCCTGTAATCCCAGATACTCGGGAGGCTGAGACAGGAGGATTGCCTGAGCCCAGTAATTCAAGGCTGAAATGAGCCAGAACTGTGCCACTGTACTCCAGCCTGAATGGCAGAGCAAGACCTTGTCTCAGTTAAAAACAGAAAAAGATGTTAGAGTAATGGCTGGCTCTAATGAGAGTTTATCAGCCTAAGATGACCTTACACTGCGTTAATAGACATACAGTATCCAGGAAGTGTGGTACACTTCCTGTACCACACTACGGAAAGGAAGCAGGAGCAACTGGCATGCACCATGTGGAGTTCGGGCCAGATTGGGCAAGAAATTTGTCAACTCAGGAAGATTTAAGCACCTGGGGTCTTTGAGCTCCCAGGGAAAGGCTTCCTGCTTGGCAACCTCAGGTAACTGTCTTCAAAAATTTGAAGGGCTCCAGTGCCTGTCACTTAACAGTTCCTTGGTAATTATCTGTCAGATATTTTGTTCAGTGAAACTTGTTCTTCAAATAGCACCAATGGGGAGTCAAAGCCAACAGGGAAAAGCTTCTAGCTCAGTAAAAGTTAAAGTTTTTGGGTGTTGTCCTTCACCACTGGAAGACAGTTGAGAGCAGCACCTAATCCATCAGCATACCTGGGGTTACGGGCCATCTCAGGACATTGGCTACCACTCTTTGTTTTGAGCCTATTTCGGAAGGCATAGTGCAGTGAGTCGACTCTCATTTATTTATTAATATTGGAGGGGTTCCCCCCATTAAATAATTGATAAACTACTTGCAGCACCCCTCACACCTTGTAGAAACACCTGTGTGTTCTAACACAGCAGTGGGGAGCCACTTGTTCAGAGATGGAACTGGCTGCCTCTAAGAGAATGAATGAATGTAAGGTATTAGAACACATGTGGCATCAATTAATTGGCACGAAAATAGTCCAAATAGGAGGTAATGAGGACTTGAACCTGATGCGGGACAGTGGTGGTAAAGGGTAAGAAATGAATTGAGAGAGGCTTTAGTTTAACTTAATGTTGATTAGATATGTTAAACGGTGGAGGAGCATTGAGAAGTCTAAGATACAACCAGGTTTCTGACGTGAGCAGGTGGTTGGGTGATAAGTTCATTCTTTGAGAGTGAAGACATGGGATTGGGAGCTAGGAAACAAGTTTGGGGAAGAGAAAGAGGGTAAGTGGCAGTTAAAGCCTGAGCCTAGAAGAGCTGACACTCAAGGAACTGAAATGTGGAAAGGATGCAGGCCTTATCTTCCCATTGATTTTTGTTGTTGTTTTTAAGCCACTATTTATGGCCACATTCATTTGCCATTCCCCAGTCAGTAGCCAGGGTTGCCATTATGGCTGTGGACAGTCTGCCTCACTGTCTGTTTTTGTACTGCCCATGAGCTAAAAATATTTTTTACATTTTGTAATTTATTGGAGAAAAAAATGAGAAATTTATGACATGTGAAAATGACAGGAAATTTATATTTCACTGCCCATAAATAAAGCTTTATGGGAGCACAGCCACACACTCATTTGTTTACACATTGTCTATGGCTGCTTTGGCCCTACAAGTGCAGAATTGAGTTGTTGTGATGAAGACCATATGGCCAGTAAGCCCTAAAATATTTACTAACTGGCCCTTTACAGAAAGTTTGTTGATTCCCCCCCGATCATGAGTAGGAGAAGCCCACACAGGAAGAGGAAGGAAGAGCTGAAGAGCTAGCTGGAGCACATCTCACAGAAACGGGAGGGAGGGAATGATGAGTGGTGTCAGAAGCTGCAGAAAAGTCGAAGAAAAGGTCCAGTGCAGACTGGTTAGACTGGCAACAATGATCACTAGTGACTTAGAAGGAAGGAAGCTTCCAGGGAGATGTTTAGGGCAAAAGCCAGTGTATTTTGGGTAGAGGAGGGAGTGGAAGGTAAAGAAATAGAGACAGTGCTGAGAGGTTACTGAAAATTGTTCAGTGCATATTGACCACTCGCTGCATGTCATCAGATTTAAAATGCCCAGCCTAGAATATCTTTTCTAGGCCTTGTTTGTATTTTAACTACTACTTTAAAAACATTTCTAGGTCATTCTTTTTATGTTTGATACCGTTGAGATAGTTAAAGGAAATAATAGCTTGTACTAGTTCTGTGCAGCTGCTGGGTTCAGAACCCTGCCTGGTTCAGAAGTTTCTTAAACAGTCCTTTTATCTGAAAAAGGAGCATCTAATTGAAGTTTTCAGAAATAAGGGCAATTAGAAGTTTAAACTGTGAGATACAAAAATGGAATAAGATAAATGGGATAAGAAAGGGGAGGAGATTCAATTATTAGAGTACATAAATGTTTCTTAAAAGTAAATGAATGGAGGCTGGGCACGGTGGCTCACACCTCTTATTTCAGCACTTTGGGAGGCGGAGGTGGGCAGATCACCTGAGGTCGGGAGTTTGAGACCAGCCTGGCCAACATGGTAAAACCCCGTCTCAACTAAAAATACAAAAATTAGCCAGGCGTCGTGGTGCACACTTGTGATCCCAGCTACTCTGGAGGCTGAGGCAGGAGAATCACTTGAACCTGGGAGGCAGAGGTTGCAGGGAGTTGAGATCCCGTCACTGCACTCTAGCTTGGACAACAGAACAAGACTCCGTCTCAAGAAAAGAAAAAAGGAAAGGAAGATAAAGTAAATGAATGAAAGTTAGAAAATAGGAAACACTGCTTTTTTTTTCCACAATGTTTTTATTTCCCTATAGTACAGAGATCATGTTTAAGCCACAAACCTTTCTCTGGAAAATAATAAACTATGCCCTTACTTTGAACAGCTCATCTTTAGAAAAAACTTGCAGAACCTGCAAATCATTAAGATTCAGAAAAGAGACAGCCTGAAAAGTAACATACTCAGACTTAACGATAGCTTCTCTTCCCCTTTATCGTCTGACATTCTGGACCATGATGATGGGTTGATGCACACTGATTCTGATTTCTTAAGACTTTGGGAGTCAGTTTGGATCAGGCCTCCTGCCTAAAAAGCTGCATTGCTCTCCAATTAGTGCCTGCAATTCTGGTTGGCATTTAAATGCTTAACGTTCTTAGATTCAGAAAGGTGTGATTTAAAAAATAGAATAAGAATTCATTCAGGTGCTGAAACAGTTTGCTGTGACTAAGGTGGTGTCTTGGGCATTTTCTGACTGTGTCCTGGAGGTTTTGATTTTTTTCTTTTTATACTTTGACCTATTTGTGCATGATGTCCTGGAGTTTGAATGACTAATCTCCTAGGCCAGAGCACACTGTCTTGGGAGGAAAGTGGTTGAGGTATGTTCCTATTTTATAATGACTTTATCACTTACAGTCCATTCTGTCTCTGATGGGATCGTGGGAAAGTGCCCTAAGGAACTTTTGCAAGGATCTTGCACGATATGTGATACCTACCAAATTTCTTCAGTTGAAACAGTGTTTTAAAGTGAGTCAAACTGGTATTCAGCCCTCAGTCTTGCAGGTCTCTCTGTCTTGTCTTGCTGTTGTTTTCTGGATTGAGTTAAAGTATGTAGTAGACCTGGTTAACTTATAGTGAAGATGCTAGACCTTTTATAGAAGGGCAGCCTTACAGAAACATAGCTCTTTCCATCCTAAAAACCAGTTGGGATGAATTTCTCCAGTCCCTCCCTGCCAGCTTCTTATTTGTACTCATAAGAAAAAAGGGGATTGCAAATGCCCTATGCTATAGAATTCTCCAGAAACAGATAGTAAAGGAATATTAAATAATCTTCATTCATTCATTTACTATTTATGCATCCATCTGTTGTTATAGGTCATGAATATTAAATAATGACTACTTTTATTTTCTGAAGTCACACATTTATTCTGCTCATCAGATTTTGGATCCTCTGATCTCTGCTCCCCCTCCCTTTACTGGGAGACCTGCTCCTACCATTGACTGGCTGAGGTTAGACATGGGGGTTGCCTAGAAGTTGCTGCAGGCACCTGCTCTTTTCTCCTGTCACCCAAAGTATGTTAATGTCCAGTAGTGGCATAGATTGGGCCGCCTGATTTCTGATGATGTATCTCTCTCATAAAGGAGACAGTTCAACAAACGACATGCTGGCCCAGCATCATTTTAGCAGTCAAAGCAGTACTGTCCCCAGAGCTGGCCCTGATGTTACCCAGGGAGGCAGGGATTTGGTCCACAGAATCATCTGAACTATCAGGCTTGATTATTTCTGTACGACTTCCAACCTTTATTTGCCAGGTAGTTTTGGGTTTTTTGGGGTTTGTTTGTTTTTTTTTTTTTGAGATGGAGTGTCACTCTGTCATGCATGGCGTGACCTCGGCTCACTACAGCCCCCACCTCCTGGGTTCAAGCAATTCTCCTGCCTCAGCCTCCCAAGTAGCTAGGATTACAGCCATGCACCACCACCCTGGCTGATTTTTTTGTATTTTTAGTAGAGACGGGGTTTCACCATGTTGGTCAGGCTGGTCTCAAACTCCTGACCTCAAATGATCTGCCTGCCTTAGTCTCCCAAAGTGCTGGGATTACAGGCATGAACCACTGCACCTGGCCTGCCAGGTAGATTTTTATGGAGAGAGTAGTGATCTTTTGGCTGCATGCAGCGAGGGAGGTGCAGATCTAAGAGAGCCTTACCTGTAGGTTCGAGGGGGAGAGCCAGAGGGTCCAGCAGGATGTGGTTTCACGGTTGTCCTGCACATTCCCATGCTGTATATGGGCCATTTTAAAAATTAAGGTTAACAAAATCAAATTTTTAAAATAAATAGAAAAAGTATCTACATTTTGTAATTTCTATCTTAAATAATTGGAAAAAAAATTTTTTAATAAAGGCATATTTATATCATTTCTAGTATTTACACAGAGAGCTGTGCAAGTCTTTGAGTCCAGGTAGCTGTAGAAACCAAAACCAAGCTGAGTTTGTGATTTTTCAGGCCTGGAGTTTCTTGTACGAATGTACTTTGTACCATGCCCTAAAGAAAAAAGAAAATATGAAAAATGGGTCCTTGCCCTGAGGAAGTAATGGCAGGAAGTCATGGCCTGGTGAGGGAGAAGGACTTGTAAATGGAGAACTTCCGTGGTAGAGAGAGATGGATGATGTGTTTCAGGAGCACTTAGGAAGAACGTTAGCCCACCTAGGACAGAGACTTCAAGAAAGTTTACTCAGAGGTAGATCTCTTAAGAATGTGGATGAAGGGAAGGGATCCTTGGACTGAGGCTTGAACCTTTTACCAAGGACTTTACCATGGACGTTTAACTCTTCTAGGCAGCACTTCAGGGAATTAATTCTAATGTTGATTTAGGCAAGTGAATGATGATCACATCCCTCTCCCCCTTGATTAATGGAATGTATTCCATGGTCTTGCTTTGTTTAACTTCTTGTCACCATCAGCTGCCACCTTCATCCTGCCTTCAATAAACTGAAGAGATTGTGGAGAATTTGGAAAAACTGTGTCCCTTGAGAGTAGAGTGAAAGGAGAAGTTACTTTGTTAGAATTGGTATCTTGTAAGCTTTCTTAAAAACAATCTTGGCCAGGGTCCAGGCATGTGGCTCATGCCTGTAATCCCAGCATTTTGTGAGGCCTATGTGGGTAGATTTCTTGAGTCCAGGAATTCGAGACCAGCCTAGGTACGAAACATGGCGAAACCCTGTCTCTACAGGGGGAAAAAATAAGTTAAGCATGGTGGTACATGACTGTAGTCCCAGCTACTCAGGAGGCTGAGGTGGGAGGACCCCTTGAGCCCTGGAGGTGGAAGTTAACAGTGAGCCAAGATCATTGCACTCCAGCCTGAGTTATACAGCAAGACCCTATCTCAAAAAAACAAAAAATAGTCTGGGCGCAGTGGCTCACACCTATAATCCCAGCACTTTGGGAGGCCAAGGCAGGCAGGTCACGAGGTCAGGAGTTCAAGACCAGCCTGGCCAACATAGTGAAACCCCATCTCTACCAAAAATACAAAAAATTAGCCGGGTATGGTGGCAGGCGCCTGTAATCCCAGCTATTTCAGAGGCTGAGGCAGGATAATTGCTTGAAGGTGGAGGTGGAGGTTGCAGTGAGCAGGGATTGTGCCACCGCACTCCAGCCTGGGTAACAGTGCAAGACTCCATCTCAGAAAAAAAAATAAATTAGTAAAATAAATAAAAAATGATAATAATCTTGGCCAGGTGCAGTGGCTGACTCCTGTAATCCTAGCACTTTGGAAAGCTGAGGTGGGAGAATTTCTTGGGCCCAAGAGTTCGAGACCCGAGCGGTCAACATGGCAAGACCCCATATCTAAACAAAATAATAACATTATTTTTTAAATCTTTAGAAAAATGTATTTGATGTATTTCAAAGACTGTTTCCCAACCTCTCTCTTTTAGTGCCCGAAGTGACGAAACCAAGTTTAAGCCAACCAACGGCCGCCAGCCCAATTGGCAGCTCTCCATCGCCACCAGTCAATGGTGGCAACAATGCCAAAAGGGTGGCAGTGCCGAACGGACAACCGCCAAGCGCCGCCCGCTACATGCCTCGGGAGGTGCCACCGCGATTCCGTTGCCAGCAGGACCACAAAGTGTTACTAAAACGTGGGCAGCCCCCTCCACCGTCCTGCATGCTCCTCGGGGGTGGGGCAGGGCCTCCTCCCTGCACAGCACCTGGAGCAAACCCAAACAACGCACAAGTGACAGGAGCGCTGCTGCAGAGTGAGAGTGGGACTGCGCCAGGTAAGACACCCTGTGGATCGAATGCATGGCAGCTTTACAGAGAGAGAGAGAGCGTGCTTGGTTTGCATTGCCTGATGTAACGTCTGGGAAAGCCATTAATTGTATAAACCACTGGGATTAGCCAAAAGATGAGAGGGGATCCTAGTATTCGATGTGTGTTGGTGATTCTTGGAACTGGGGGCTTAGTGTTCCATAAGTGTGTGCTCTTGTCATGAGAGGCTAATGTGGCTGCTGTTGCTCATTATTTTGGGGGACTTTTCTTCCTTCTCAGACAAGAGTGTTATAAATTTGAGCCTCCATAGTTCCAATGTCTTTGTGTGCAGGTTATAATTGGACCTGGGGCGTGTGTGGAGGCAAGTCTTTAGATGTCTGTGTTACGTTTCCAGGATTCTAGGAGGATAGAGAAAATGATTTGTTACATTGCAATAGAATCTTGGTAGGATTCTAAAATTACACTATTCTATAGTTTTTACATTAGATTTTTAAAATCAGTATTTGTTTTGAGGGCCCTGGATTTTGAGCTTTGTTAAAAACTGTGTATAGAAATAAGGGATCTTTAGCTAAAGGGTTCTACTAGAAGTTTTGAGTGTTTTTAATAGATGAATACTAAGTCAACTAACAGCTAAGAAATTCTAAATATCTTTTAAAGTTTACTAAGATTTCAACTTAAAATGTCTTTTGAGTCGATAATAAAATTCAGAGCTTGAATACCATTAAGCATTGGCAAAGACAATGAATTGATTGATGGTTGTCACCAGTAGGATGCTTTATTTGGCTTCTGAGTTTGAACAAAGAATTGCTAGAAAATTCACTCGCCACCTTGTTGTGTACAGAGTAAGGATGGAAAGAAACCTTGTGGTGACACAGACTTCCTGCAGAGATAAGCCCTTTCCTTCCTGGCCTCTCCTAACCAGCTGCAAAAGGAAGCATGTGAAGGGGCGGTCCTGTCGGGCGGAGTTTCTGCAGCCGAGTGTAGCCACGCCTAGGTGGAGACTTGGGTTCCGTGTGAGTCAGAGTCCACATTATTAAAACCAAGGAGGCCCCTAAATCTCAAGAGTTTGGGATTCTGTGCTTTTTCATTTTTCTATGCCTCTGTGTAGTTCATTTTTGAACTTCAAATTGATTAAAAGCTGCCTGGTTAAAGAAGCTAAAATAAATTTAGAAGAAATGATCTCATTAAAAACATATTTTTCCCACCAAATATGGTAAATTCCACCAAAATAATATGGTGAGCCAGACTCATTTATCAGATTAAGTTCCTTGGGGTTGTGAACTCCAATTCGTACTCGTGTGACACCCCCTGCCACGACCCCAGGCACCTAGCTCAGTGGGTATTCATCATTCAGCAGATGCTTACTAAGCAGCATTGTGCTGGCTGCTGTGTGGAATTCTAACGTTAGCAAGTTAGGGTCTCCACCTAAAAGATGTTCACATGGGGAAGGAAAGTTGTGAACATGTACCACAGCACTGAGCAAGAAGGCTCTAAACAGGAAAAGATTATTTTCAGGTAATAAGCTTGGAAACAGCTTTATAGCTGAAGTGACACTTGAATTGGGCCCAGAAGGATGAGTAAATTTCACTACGTGAATTCAGGAGGAAAACACAGTAGGTGCCAATGTGGAACGGTGCCAGAGTGAGAAGGCACGAGTTGTGGAATGTCAAGTAGTTTGGATATTGACATCTACAAAGCAAGTTGTAGAAGATAAGACTAGAAAAGTTGGTTGGTCCCAGGTCATGGAGCATGTTGATGAAATTCCAGGCCAAGCAGTTTAGCTTTATCCTTGTGCACTAAGAGAACTATTGAAGGTTCTCCATACAGCAGTGATATAATCAAAGGTGTGCTTTAGAAAAATTGCTCCAGCCAGGGGTGTTTAGAGTAGATTGGAAGTACAGTGCTATTGCTATTACCTTATCCTAAGACACAAGAAGGCCCTTCTTTGTCAGTAGGAATGGCAAAGGAGGTAGCTTTGAGAGAGATGAAGTTAGACTTAGCCAATATAACACAAGGCAAATGAAAAAGAAGAGGTGACTAAGACAGTTGTGATATAGACAACTGGGTTGAAAGAAAGCTAGCATGTGATTAGCTCTCCTAAGGGCAGAGCTCAAAGGAGAGCCCCTTTGAGGTATTGACGGGTAATGAATGCATGTGAAGCTGTGATTAATAAGATGATCTCTTCCCCAGAGTCAACCCTTGGAGGTGCTGCTGCTTCAAATTATGCAAATTCCACTTGGGGTTCGGGAGCCTCCTCCAACAACGGCACCTCCCCCAACCCAATTCACATCTGGGACAAGGTGATTGTAGACGGGTCTGACATGGAAGAGTGGCCTTGTATTGCCAGCAAAGACACTGAATCTTCTTCCGAAAACACCACCGATAACAACAGTGCCTCGAACCCTGGCTCTGAGAAGAGCACTCTGCCAGGAAGCACCACTAGTAACAAAGGAAAAGGGAGCCAGTGCCAGTCTGCAAGTTCTGGGAACGAATGTAATCTTGGGGTCTGGAAATCTGACCCTAAGGCTAAATCTGTTCAATCTTCCAACTCTACTACAGAGAACAACAATGGACTAGGAAATTGGAGGAATGTGAGTGGTCAGGATAGAATTGGACCTGGCTCTGGCTTCAGCAACTTTAACCCAAATAGCAACCCATCTGCCTGGCCAGCACTGGTCCAAGAAGGAACTTCTAGGAAAGGGGCATTGGAAACAGATAATAGTAATTCCAGTGCACAGGTTAGCACAGTAGGTCAGACATCCAGGGAACAGCAGTCAAAGATGGAAAATGCGGGTGTTAATTTTGTTGTCTCTGGCAGAGAACAGGCTCAAATTCATAACACTGATGGACCAAAAAATGGAAACACTAACTCCTTGAACTTAAGTTCACCAAACCCCATGGAGAATAAGGGAATGCCCTTTGGAATGGGCTTGGGGAACACCTCCAGGAGCACTGACGCCCCTTCACAAAGCACTGGAGATCGAAAGACTGGGAGTGTTGGATCTTGGGGTGCAGCTAGGGGGCCTTCTGGAACTGACACAGTCTCTGGACAAAGCAATTCTGGAAACAATGGGAACAATGGAAAAGAGAGAGAGGACTCCTGGAAAGGAGCTTCTGTTCAGAAATCAACTGGGTCAAAAAATGACTCTTGGGACAACAATAACAGGTCTACGGGTGGGTCCTGGAACTTTGGCCCCCAGGACTCTAATGACAACAAATGGGGTGAAGGGAACAAAATGACATCTGGGGTCTCTCAGGGAGAATGGAAACAGCCGACTGGGTCTGATGAGTTGAAAATTGGAGAATGGAGTGGCCCAAACCAACCAAATTCTAGCACTGGAGCATGGGACAATCAAAAGGGCCACCCCCTCCCTGAAAACCAAGGCAATGCCCAGGCTCCCTGTTGGGGAAGATCTTCCAGCTCCACAGGAAGTGAAGTTGGAGGTCAAAGCACTGGAAGCAACCACAAAGCAGGAAGTAGTGACAGTCATAACTCTGGCCGTCGGTCATACAGGCCCACACATCCTGATTGTCAGGCTGTCTTGCAGACTCTTTTGAGCCGAACTGATTTGGACCCCAGGGTGCTCTCAAACACCGGCTGGGGCCAAACTCAAATTAAGCAGGACACAGTGTGGGACATTGAAGAGGTGCCAAGGCCCGAGGGGAAATCTGACAAAGGAACTGAGGGGTGGGAGAGCGCTGCCACACAGACCAAGAACTCAGGGGGCTGGGGAGACGCACCCAGCCAAAGCAATCAAATGAAGTCTGGATGGGGGGAGCTCTCAGCCTCTACAGAGTGGAAAGACCCCAAGAACACCGGAGGCTGGAATGACTACAAGAACAACAACTCTTCTAACTGGGGAGGAGGACGACCTGATGAAAAGACATCTTCCTCTTGGAATGAGAATCCCAGCAAGGATCAGGGGTGGGGAGGTGGACGCCAGCCCAATCAAGGATGGACCTCTGGAAAGAATGGTTGGGGAGAGGAAGTAGATCAAGCAAAAAACAGCAATTGGGAAAGTTCTGCAAGTAAACCTGTGTCTGGGTGGGGTGAAGGAGGGCAGAATGAAATCGGAACTTGGGGTAACGGTGGGAATGCAAGCCTAGCTTCAAAAGGTGGGTGGGAGGATTGCAAAAGATCCCCAGCATGGAATGAGACAGGCCGACAGCCCAATTCCTGGAATAAACAACACCAACAGCAGCAGCCGCCACAGCAGCCACCGCCACCACAACCAGAGGCTTCTGGTTCGTGGGGAGGCCCACCCCCACCACCTCCAGGCAGCGTTCGACCTTCCAATTCCAGCTGGAGCAGCGGGCCACAGCCTGCAACCCCTAAGGATGAGGAACCCAGTGGTTGGGAAGAGCCATCCCCGCAGTCAATTAGTCGGAAAATGGACATCGATGATGGCACTTCAGCATGGGGAGACCCCAACAGTTATAACTACAAGAATGTGAATCTGTGGGATAAGAATTCCCAAGGGGGCCCAGCACCTCGGGAACCAAACCTGCCCACCCCAATGACCAGTAAATCAGCATCAGGTAAGCTATGGCTTTTCCTGGCAGCTTTTGATGAAGAAAAGAAACCTGAGGCATTTTTATTAGGTGCACTTAGTCAATTTAGTTCTGTTCTGAGAAGCTTTCCTACAGTTTTCCTACTCTGTTGCTATCAGAACCTCTTTTTATAAAATGCTAGTGATGGCAGATGCTGGTAGTACATTTTAATGTTCTTTCTTGGCAAAAGGAAAAGACGACAACCCTGTGTTAGTCCCCAAAATTATTTTTCTGTAATTGTATTGGTCTGCAGAATCCAAAAGACGTATCTTGCTAAACAAACTATGTTCTAGATTTTAAAATAAAGAATTAAAGTAGTAGCAGAAATAGACCTGCTTTCCATTCTGGTTCTCCCTGTGGACATCTCTCTGCTTCTGTTTCCCCAGCAAAGGGAAGTATTCTGTGTTTTTCCAGAGGCCATCATGATGCTGAAGCAAAGCTGGTATCTGGAAGCTTTCAGTCTCTTTCCAGATGATTTGTAATGATTACTTCTGGAATGGGAGTACTTTCTATAAGAAATTGTTATCTCAGGCCTAGTGAGGTGCCTCACACCTATAATCCCAGCACTGTGGGACACCGGACCAGGAGGATCCCTTGAGCCCAGGAGTTTGAGACCACCTGGGCAACCTAGAGAGACTTCAGTCTCTACAAAAATACATTTAAAAATTGGTTGAGTGTGCTTCATATGCCACTATAGTCCCACCTGCTTGAGAGGCTGAGGTGAGAGTATCACCTAAGTCCTGGAGATGGAGGCTCTGGGGAGTTAGGATCGCACCACTGCAACTCCAGCTCGGGCGGCAGAGTGAGACCCTGTTGCAGAAAAAAAGAAAAAAACAACACGAGATTGTTAGGATATCAGTTGCCCAGAATTAAACTTTCTTCCCTCGCTATTTTTAATAGGAAACATCATACCTGGTAAAAGTAGCAATGGTAATGCCATTCTTAGTTTGTCGTTGTCAACTTGAATGTCCCTGTAAAGCATATAGTTCAACAAATTAAGGGGGCTGCAACCTTTCAGTCTTTTTTTAGTTAAAATTAATGATAATTTTAAGAATCAGGGTTTTGTTTGCTTGTCTTTTGTTTTTTCTTTTGAGACAGAATTTCACTTTGTCGCCCAGGCTGGAGTGCAGTGGCACGATCTCAGCTCACTGCAACCTTCTCCTCTCAAGTTCAAGTGATTCTCTTGCCTCAGCCTCCCGAGTAGGTGGAATTACAGGTGCCTGCCACCACGCCCAGCTAATTTTTGTATTTTTAGTAGAGACTGGTTTCACCATGTTGGCCAGAGTGAAAGTAGATCACCTCAGGTGATCCACCTGCCGTGGCCTTCCAAAGTGCTGGGATTACAGGCGTGAGTCACTGTGCCCTGCCAAGAATCAGTTTTCTCGGAGTACACCTCTAGTGTTCAGCTAATCCATTTGTGGCCACTTAGAAAAATAATTACTTTTGGCCAGGCGTGGTAGCTCATGCCTGTAATCCCAGCACTTTGGGAGGCCAAGGTGGGCGGATCACGAGGTCAGAAGTTTGAGACCAGCTTAGCAAACATGGTGAAACCCTGTACAAAAATTAGCCTGGCATGGTGGTACGTGCCTATAATCCCAGCTACTCAGGAGGCTGAAGCAGGAGACTGGCTTGAACCCCGGAGGTGGAGGTTGCAGTGAGCTGAGATCGGGCCACTGCACTCCAGCCTGGGCGACAGACAGTGTGAGACTCCCTCTCAAAAAAAAAAAAAAACAAAAACATTACTTTTAACTCATTCTTTTTTCAAGTATTGAAAACAATGAGGAAGGAAATGAACATTGCTCAGTAACTCCTCATCCGGAATAAAACCTGCTAAAATTTTTTAGAAACTATATTCACATAGCAAAAACCTTCAAACTATCTGTAAAGGCGAAAGATGATCAATAAAGTAATCTTAATCCTTTGGGTCTCTTCCCATCTTCCCATAGGTAATCTCTTAGAAGTTTGTGTCCCATTCAAAAGTTTTACAGAGAAGGGATTGTACTTTACATACTGTTCTTCACCTCGCTTTTCTCATTATGCTTACAAGCTTTCCATTTTAGCACATAGTGTGCGACGTAATTGCTTCATATACGGTATTTCTTCTTTCTTTCTCCCTCCCATTTTTTTTTTTTTTTTTTTTTGAGACGGAGTCTCACTCTGTTGCCAAGGCTGGAGTGCAGTGGCACAATCTCGGCTCACTGCAACCTCCGCCTCCCAGGTTCAAGCGAGTCTCCTTCTCAGCCTTCCAAATAGCTGGGATTACAGGCATGTGCCACCATGCCCAGTTTATTTTTGTATTTTGGTAGAGACGGGGTTTTGGCATGTTGGTCAGGCTGTTCTTGAACTGACCTCAGGAGATCCACCCGTCTTGGCCTCCCAAAGTGCTGGGATTATAGGCGTGAGCCACCACACCCAGCCCATGTATGATATTTCTTTAATGAGTGACCCACAGTCCCCTTGTGGTGGATATTTAGGTTGCTTCCAAATTTTTTCTATCAGTGATGCCGTGAGTATTGCTATACATGTAATTTCATCTATGTTTACAAGTGTACATGTGGTGTAATTTCCTGGCAGGCTGGGTGTGGTGGCTCATGTCTGTAATCCCAGTACTTTGGGAGGCTGAGGCAGGTGGATCCTGACTTGAGGTCAGGAGTTTGAGGCCAGACTGACTAACATGGTGAAACCCCGTCTCTACTAAAAAAAAAAAAAAGTACAAAAATTAGCTGGATATGGTGGTACACACCTGTAATCCCAGCTACTTGGGAGTCTGAGGCAGGAGAATCGCTTGAAGCCAGGAGGTGGAGGTTGCAGTGAGCCAAGACCACGCACTGTACTCCAGCCTGGATGACAAAGTGAGACTCTGTTTAAAAAAAAAAAAAAAATCTCCTGTCAGTGGAGTTACTGGGTCAAAAGTTTAATGTGCATCAGATTTTTTAAACAGTGACATTGTCAAATGCCCCTCATGAAAGTTGAATCTGTTTACATTTCTGCCAACAGAATGTAGGCATGCTTGTTCCCTCCACCTTCACCCCGTTGGATATTCTGGCATTTCATTTAACAAATGATTCTTAGAGACATTTCCTTTCTTTATAGTCTGGAGCAAAAGCACACCACCTGCTCCAGATAATGGTACTTCCGCTTGGGGTGAGCCAAATGAAAGCAGTCCTGGGTGGGGCGAGATGGATGATACAGGAGCATCGACCACAGGCTGGGGGAACACGCCCGCCAACGCTCCCAATGCCATGAAGCCTAGTAAGTGTGAAGCTTTCCATTTTTGAGAGATTCTTCTTTTTTTTTTTTTTTTTTTTTGAGACAGAGTTTCACTCTTGTCACCTCGGCTGGAGTGCAGTGGTGCAACCTCTGCTCACTGCAACCTCCCCTTCCCAGCTTCAAGCGATTCTCCTGCCTCAGCCTCCCAAGTAGCTGGGATTATAGGCGCCCGCCACCATGCCCACCTAATTTTTGTATATTTATTAGAGACAGGGTTTCACCATGTTGGTCAGGCTGGTCTCCAACTCCTGACCTCAGATGATCCACCTGCCTCAGCCTCCCAAAGTGCTGGGATTACGGGCGTGACCCACTGGGCCTGGCTGGGATTCGTTGTTAATTTGAGCATCTGACATTTTGGTGAGGGCTCTTTAGTTTTAAACTGTTGATTCAGTGAGATTCAGGACCTTTAGTGTTAAATAATTAGTTAATAGCAAATGGTTGTAGCTTGGCTTGGTGTTTCTTAAAATGTTTAAGATGAACTAAAAATCATAGGTTAATTTTGTTGATTTTGTTTTAAATTTAGTACCTGGACAGAATTGTAGTTTGATGTGATGCCCTTTTCGCCCAGTGACTGTGTTCACCATGTCTAGCTTGCATTTGCTTGTTAGTGTAATTTAAAACAAAAGTTCTCTGGCTTTTAATGTGGAACATGGTTTCTGCTGCCCAGTGACTTCATCCTTCTGTGCTTTTCCTTGCCTTTGGCCTCTCTTCTTCCACGTAAGATCATTAGAGGTTTTTTGAACCTGGCATAAATTTCACTTCAAGTTTTTTAAATGAGGAACATCACACTTATTCAGAATCATTGAAAATCTAAGCTGTACTTGATCCAGCTGGTGATATGTGGTCATAGTAATTAGCAGAACTCTAGACTGAGGCTGTAGAACATCTCATTGGATGTTCCTAAATTGAAAAATTCAATTTTCAAGTGCCTGTTTCCACTTATTTTTGTAACTTTCTTAAAAATGTTCCAACTTCTCTCTTTTTTTTTCCCTGTATAGCAGATTTAAGGGATTATCTTTTGACTAAATAATGAAAATTTCTGGAATGACCAAACCTTGAACAAGAAAATAAATTTTTAAGTTTATCATATAATATTCAGGACTTTTACAGTGCCACATAAGGGAATATGATATTAGCTCTATTCTGGAGATTCACACATAGTAACTTGACTAATTTTTAAAACTGTGAATCTCCTCAACTTCATTAAAATAGCTATCTTTATGAAGATTTTGTTTTTATCATTATTTCCATTGTGAAATCAGTTGTATCATCATGGGAAATGTAACCTAGTATACTTGAAATAGATCCAAAAAGCTGTTGGAAGACATAAATCAGACCCTGGTCACAAAGAGATCCTTTAGCAGTATATTCAGGATTTTTATGTGTGTTTCCCAACCTCAGGATCACCTCTCTTCTGTCACAAAACCCTCACTTTTCCTCAGATTCTAGAAATGTCTTCTACTTTTGAGGGTCATCAGTAGTTACAGCACACACCCTTTCTCTGGATATTCTGAATGTGTAATGTGCAGAAGAAGGGGCTAAACCATCATAGTCTACCAGTTGATGCAGTTACCCTGTGATCTTCTCTAGCCTGCAAGTGTCTTAAATTTGATGTTATGAATCCTTTCATTAAAAATTAGACCTCTCTTATCTTTTCTATAAGAAACGTTTGTTAGAAGTTTAGCTTCTCTCTCTAAAAGAAAGGTTCACTTGCATGTCTTCATTTTTCTAAAGAGGTAGGTATGTTATTTATATTGGCTTTTAATAACTCCTGTTGCTTGTCGGTGGATGGTATAAAGCCTATGCTTGTATAATACAAATCATAAATATGGTATTATATAAATTTATAATCCTATATACAGAGGCAGCAGTCACGGTTATCAGCAGCACTTCCAGCAGCAGGAAGAAGAGCATCCCAACCCTGCCCCCTTGTACACAGACAGAAAGCCCCTTCCTGTGGCTACAGTGAACCCCACTGGGAGACTATCAGATTCCCCTGGGCCTTGCTGGGGGATGAGATGCCACAGTTAGAAGAAATTAATTGCCCTGTGCCTTATGTACTTCGTGCGAACCTACTTGACTATCATAGGCCTGGTTCTACAGAGTGGCAGCTGTCATTCAAGGAAAGGCCTGGAAGAGCCAATTTTCTGCCCTTAATCTCCTCATATAAAATTATGAACAAATCAGAAACTTTCATAAATGTCCTGTCATGTCGGAAAGTAGAGGTGTAGATGGAAGTTTCCAGGCAAGAAAATGTAGTTCCTTTTCTGTCATCATTTTATACAGTATCATTAATGCAATGTATGTTTTGATTCTGTACAGTATTTTCAGAGGGAATTTAGGACTTAATCCAGTCTTCAAATTAAAAATCATTGTTTAGGATGGGATACTGATGTCCCACTTTCTCAAACATTAAAGCATCTTTGATTTCTCTCTGCTTTCCTTCCTCCCTTCCTCTTCCTATCCTCCACATTTTCTACTCCTGTCTTTTCAAAACCACTATATTCTTTGTATATTCTTTGCCTCTTTAGTATCTAATACATTTCAAGTATGTAGTTCTATTACCTTTCATATTTCTGTGGCTATATGTGAATTTTTCTTCTATAATTTTGATATTCAAAATCTTATAAATTTCCCCCTTTTTATGTTCTGTTTTTCTCTGCTTCACTGCAAACAAGCTAGACAGTTGTCCTTTATCATACCTCGTATTTGTAGTGTCCATTGCATATAAAGCACATACTGAATAGGAGGATAAAACCAGGGCTACAGCTCATTAAGAGGGACAGATTTCTCTTAATTGAGATGTGAAATTTCTTGACCAGAATGTTGTGATAAGTCATTTTCAGTTTTGAAATTCCTGTCCGCTTGGTGCAAGGGATAAAGCATTGATCCAGATGTCAGGAGGCCTTGATTCTACGGTTTGTTAGCTTTCTGTGTATCATTGAGGCTTTATAGGTTTTGGTTTCCTGACCTCTAAAAAATGAGTAATAGTATTTGTCTTGCCATATGGATGGACTAGATAAAATTACAAAGACACTAAAATGCTGCATATGCAAGCAATTATTATTCTGATGATTGTTTTATATAGCTGTTGCAAAGAGTTAATTTATTCTTTCCTTTAAGATTCCAAATCTATGCAAGACGGCTGGGGGGAGAGTGACGGGCCAGTCACAGGAACTCGCCATCCCAGCTGGGAAGAGGAGGAGGATGGAGGAGTCTGGAACACCGCTGGCTCTCAGGGCAGTGCTTCCTCCCACAACTCGGCAAGCTGGGGACAAGGAGGAAAGAAACAAATGAAGGTAGTCTGCCTTAGAAATGTTCACGCTTGCTCATTTGCTCTGAGAAGGCAGAACTGAGGTTTTGTTTGTGTTTGTTTTCCTTTTGAAACAAGTTCTCACTCTGTCACTCAGGCTAGAGTGCAGTGGCACAATCACGACTCACTGTGGCGTCGACCTCCTTGCTCAAGTAATCCTCCCATCTCAGCCTCCCTAGTAGCTGGAACTATCACCACACCTGGCTAATTTTTGTATTTTTTAAATAGAGACAGGGTTTTACCATGTTGCCCAGGATGGTCTCAAACTCCTGGGTTCAATCCTGCTGCCTCAGCTTCCCAAAGTTCTGGGATTACAGGCATGAGCCACTACGCCTGGCCGAAACAGGATTTTTAAATGAAAGGTGTACGGCAGCTGGGGTCCTTGAGGGTCCTAAGTAAGGGGAAAAATATTTTCTTGCAAACAAATAACAAGTTCCCTTTTACCCTTTGTCTTCCTTTCCCATGACCTTGAACTACAAAACTGTTGCTGTGGGTAAAATGAAATTTTCAAAGATAGGAGATATTTTTCATTTTTAGTTTCCACATTTTAATAATCTGTTGTAGGCTCTCAAGGCATACTTTATGAATGCTTTTGCATTCTAAAGCCAAAGACGTCCTTCCAGTAAATCCCTGTAGATATGTAGGAGGGAATCCAAAGGAAGATAATGCTGGCTTCTCCCGTGGCGATCAGCATGTCTTGATTTTATCTGATTTGGGAAATTCCAAGGCCCAGAACCCTTCTCCCAACAAATGAAGCACCAATGTGTGCTTGCGTGCTATATAGCAGCTAGATGCTTTCTCTACATTCTATACCAGGTGGTGTGCTAAACTTTCCACCTCCTGTGGCTCGTAGCAACTCACTGTCTCCTTCAGTTTGCTCAGTTTGATGAGGACTTTGGTTTTTAATCTAGAACAGTAGTCTTTGAACCTGAACCAGTGTCTTGGCAGACACTCTTTTTTCAATTCCAGATTTTCATTCGACAAATAATATAGTGGAAATAAGAAGTGGGCATCCATTACTTAATTTCAAAATGAGAGCCTTGGCACCCTATGAAATGTTTCACAGCTAATATTCTCCTGTGTTTCAAATGCCAGATGCTGTCTTAGAGGCCTTCCCATGTCTGAGGATTGGGCCTTCCTCCCCTTTGCCCTTACATTTTGTAGGCGACTCTTTCTTTTATAGCATAAGAATACAGTTTGTTTCTATTTAGAGACGTTTTGCTTAAGCAGTCACTTACAGTTTTTCTTCTGTTAAGAGCTTTTATTTCTTTATTCTAGTCAACAGAAGGAGTTACTCAGCAAACTTTTCCGCATTTTTCGCACTCTTAAGTTGTCTAGTTTGATTTTGGCTTTCTTTTGATTATTTACAAATTAACAATGAGACTAAATCAACTGATTGAAAGCAACTAATAAATACTCCACTCCGGTGACAACCAAGATTTAATTAAGTTAACTGGGAATTGAATCTTTCAGCCCCAGTACCAGTGATTCTGACTTTTCATATTGAAGGTGGTTTTTTTGTTTTCTGTTTGTTTGTTTTAATTGTGATAAAATACATATAACATGAAATTTACTGTAGTGTACTTTCTTTTCTGTTCTTTTTTTTTTTTTGGGACGGAGTTTCGCTCTTGTTACCCAGGCTGGAGTGCAATGGCGGGATCTTGGCTCACCGCAACCTCCGCCTGCTGGGTTCAGGCAATTCTCCTGCCTCAGCCTCCTGAGTAGCTGGGATTACAGGCACGCGCCACCATGCCCAGCTAATTTTTTGCATTTTTAGTAGAGACGGGGTTTCACCATGTTGACCAGGATGGTCTCGATCTCTTGACCTCGTGATCCACCCACCTCGGCCTCCCAAAATGCTGGGATTACAGGCTTGAGCCACCGCACCCGGCCTATAAAATTAGTTTTTTTTTTTTTTTTTCTCTTTTCTTTTCTTTTTTTTCTTTTTCTGAGACAGTTTAGCTCTTGCTGCCCAGGCTGGAGTGCAGTGGAATGATCAGCTCACCGCAACCTCCGCCTCCTGGGTTCAAGCGATTCTCCTGCCTCAGCCTGCCGAGTAGCTAGGATTACAGGCATGCACCACCACGCCTGGCTAATTTTATATTTTTAGTGGAGGTGGAGTTTCTCCATTTTGGTCAGGCTGGTCTTGAACTCCCAAACTCAGGTGATCTGCCCTCTTAAGTGCTGGGATTACAGACGTGAGCCACTGCACCTGGTCTCATAGTGTACATTTTTAAGTGTACAGTTCAATGGCATTAAATATATAAACATACTCAGGCTACCATTTATCACCGTCTATCAACAGAACTCTTTCCATCTTAAAAAACTGAAACTCTGTACCTATTAAACAGTAACTTCACATTCCCCCCTCACTCTAGTGAGGGCTTTTTTGACATCAAAACCTGTACTAGCTGGGCACAGTGGCTCATACCTGTAATCCCAGCACTTTTGGAGGCCGAGGTGTGCAGATCACCTGAAGTCAAGAGTTCGAGACCAGCCTGGCCAACATGGCAAAACGTTGTCTCTACTAAAAATAGAAAAATTAGCCAGGCATGGTGGCGGACCCCTGTAATCCCAGCTACTGGGGAGGCTGAGGCAGGAGAATTGCTTAAACCCAGGAGGCGGAGGTTGCAGTGAGCCAAGATTGTACCATTACACTCCAGCCTGGGCAACAAGAGCAAAACTCAGTCTCAAAAAAAAAAGGCCAGCGCAGTGGCTCACACCTGTAATCCCAGCACTTTGGGAAGCCGAGGCGGGCAGATCACAAGGTCAGGAGTTCGAGGCCAGTCTGTCTAATATAGTGAAACCCTATCTCTACTAAAAATACAAAAATTAGCTGGGCATGGTGGCATGCACCTGCAGTCTCAGTTACTCGAGAGGCTGAGGCAGAAGAATTGCTTGAACCCGGGAGGCAGAGGTTGCAGTGAGCCAAGATTGCACAGCCTGGGTGACAGAGCGAGATTTCGTCTCAAAAAAAAAAAAAACCTGTACTAAAGTGCTTCATCACTTTCAAGGATAATAAAATTGATTTGATAGCTATCATCATATTACATGTGAAATACGCAAGTGCACAAAGCCCCACCCCACCAAATCTTCCTCATACTTCCACCTGCCTCCCTCACAGAAGTGAAAGTGGAGCTCATGGTCAGTGCCTTGTTCAGGGAAGAAACTAGTTTGTCCTGTTAAAAAATTAAAACCTACCTCTGCCCTACTTTGTCCAGGAGATCAGTAATGGCTTCTTCCACTGGGTCTCTTTACCACCAGAACCAGTCCTTTATGCTGTGAAACAAGCAGATGAAGCACCACAAGTTCCTCATAATGTCCGGTTTAAATAGGCTCCTTTCCAGATGGCACGCACTGACATCAAACTCTTTTCTCCTAACATAAACCAGTTTGGGTTACAAGGAGAGCAGCCTAATAGAAGTGAAAGTAGTCATGTGCAAAACTTAGATTTCAGAAAATCACATCAGACTTTTCTGTTTAAAAAGTAAAAGTACCAGCTGACCATGTGTTTTTTCAATTATATTTCAGTGAGATGAATTTTATAAAACTGCTAACATAAATATAACTAGGACTTATTTAAACTTAACAAAATATCAAAATAATTTTAGTTAAAGAGAAATAGGATTTAAAAAGGTAAATTCTAGTCTACATTTTCAGCCTGTGTTAATAAAACTCAGAAGGTTGAAATAAATTATTTGGTTCTGAGGTTATGTGTTTCGTTTCTGTAGTGCTCACTTAAAGGAGGAAACAGTGATTCATGGATGAATCCTCTTGCCAAACAGTTTTCAAATATGGGATTGCTGGTAAGTTTTATTTTTTTCAAATGTATAATGTATCCCAACTATTAGGTTTAATACAGATTTTAAGACCTCTGCTAGAAAAAGAAAAAAAATAAGAAAAAAAAAAAAGCAGGCCGGGCGCGGTGGCTCACGCCTATAATCCCAGCACTGTGGGAGGCCGAGGCGGGTGGATCATGAGGTCAAGAGATCGAGACCATCCTGGTCAACAGGGTGAAACCCCGTCTCTACTAAAACTACAAAAAATTAGCTGGGCATGGTGGCGCGTGCCTGTAATCCCAGCTCTCAGGAGGCTGAGGCAGGATAATTGCCTGAACCCAGGAGGCGGAGGTTGCGGTGAGCCAAGATCGCGCCATTGCACTCCAGCCTGGGTAACAAGAGCGAAACTCCGTCTCAAAAAAAAAAAAAAAAAAAAGGCAAAAAGACCACTGCCACATATAGTAAGTACAAAATTACAGATTTAAAAACTAATTAAGCAATGTTTTTGATCTTTTGAATTGAGCAGTATTTCTTTTCTGTGATTTTATTCTTAATGACATACTCCGACATTTAAAAGTTATGGCTTTTGGCCGGGCGCGGTGGCTCAAGCCTGTAATCCCAGCACTTTGGGAGGCCGAGGCGGGTGGATCACGAGGTCAAGAGATCGAGACCATCCTGGTCAACATGGTGAAACCCTGTCTCTACTAAAAATGCAAAAAATTAGCTGGGCATGGTGGCGCGTGCCTGTAATCCCAGCTACTCAGGAGGCTGAGGCAGGAGAATTGCCTGAACCCAGGAGGCGGAGGTTGCGGTGAGCCGAGATCGCGCCATTGCACTCCAGCCTGGGTAACATGAGTGAAACTCCGTCTCAAAAAAAAAAAAAAAAAAAAAAAAAAGTTATGACTTTTAAATTTGTAGTGATTTTGTCCTTTTCCTTAGGAGGATAGAGAAGAGTCAGGCACTTAAAATTTATACAGTTGTTTCTGACCACATTACTGTGTTAGTTTTCATATTACAAGTTTTTAAAAGTCAACAATAACCAAATAACTAGAAAAACTATACTGGGACTAATTACATAGAGAATTCTTGTAGAATTTCTGATTTCTTTATCTCTGGGGAATGGTTTGGGGACACCCTGTCCCTGGTTGCCAAAAGACAAATGACTTTACTTGGCTGCACAGTTGAAGATTTGATGACTTGACAAGTCACGAGAAGAAGTTGTCATCATTTGGCTGCCACTCATGGAATTTGATCCTGGGCTGACTAGAACTTAAGGACAGGGGGTTTATTTCTTCAGGCAGCTGTTTATCTATGGCTCTCTTTGTAGATGCATTGAGACTAACTGCATGTTAAAGCTGAATTGTGAGAATATAGGCCCAAGCAGCAATCAGGCTAGCATATTAAAAATGTTAATGTCTTCATTACCGTTAAGTTCATTTCAGAGGAACTTCTGTAGTGCCAATAGTAAGATGTGGCTCTCAGGTGACTAATGCCACCTCTCTGATTCAAAGACGTACATCCTTAATTCTCTCTCATCTGTTCTTGATTTTTCAGAGTCAGACTGAAGATAATCCAAGCAGCAAAATGGATTTGTCTGTCGGTGTGTATCACTCTGCTGAAAGGAATGAAGTATATCAATGTTGCGATGTCCTGTTGGCATCTCCTGCCCAATTTGAGTTGGGATGGGTGCAGTTCAGTAGACATTTATTGAGCTCTTACTCTTTGTAAGGTACTGTGCCAGACACTAGGTAGGACTGAAAACTCAGATGACTGCAAAAGTCAGGAAAGAATGAAAATGAGTGATGTGCTCAAGGTATAAGAACCTGGGATGAGGTGGCCACAAGTTAACTGTGGAGAGTCCACCTGGAAGAATCAGCCTTGCATGGTTCCTGGCAGTTGCTGCTCTGGAAGAATCCAGCTGAGCTATGACAAGTCTTTCAGGAGAGGCCAGAAATTCAGATGTGTCCTGGCATTCTGATTTTTATTTTTATATTTATTTGTTCTTTGAGACTGAGTCTCGCTTTGTCGCCCAGGCTGGAGTGCAGTGGCGCGATCTCAGCTCACTCCAACCTACGCCTCCTAGGTTCAAGCAATTCTCCCACCACAGTCTCCCAGGTAGCTGGGATCATAGGCATGCACCACCATGCCCAGCTAATTTTTGTATTTTTAGTAGAGACGGGGTTTCACTATATTGGCCAAATTGGTCTCGAACTCCTGACCTCAAGTAATCTGCCTGCCTTGGCCTCCCAAAGTGCTAGGATTACAGGTGTGAACCACTGCATCCAGCCTGATTTTTAAATACTAGAACTAATTCAGATCTCTTAAAATGCTCTATGGGGCCAAAAAATTATGTGCCAGATATGGCCCTCAAGTTGCCAGTCCTGTCTGTACCTAGATGCTGCATTATTGGCAAACTCTCACATTGCAGCTGGAGTGGATGCAGTGTTAGCCATTAGTCTGTGGGATTTTTGTAGTAATGTTCTTGATCACTCTGAGGAACTTAAAAAGAAACTAAGAAGAAATGAAAATAATTATGGATAGTAAAGGAAGTAGGTGGTCTTTGATCTATGATATTTCTAAATACGAGAATAATTAAAACATAAGTTTCCTCACGGGGGGCACTGGTTATATCAGCAAACAACAGCGGATTTATAGAGCTGTGAAAGAAAAGCGGTATAGTCATGGCATCTGGGAAATTGCACCGTGTAGGTAATGTGGTCACATCTTCTGTGTTCAACTCTTAAGGTCTAAATTTTAGGGCAACCACTGTGCCTCCTTGACCTTTTTATTCCTAATAACTGTGTTTCACACAGACCATTAACTTAGCTGATGTTAAAATTGCAAAAACAGACAACTTCTCTCCCTGAGGACATTTGAATTTATGAGCAAGATGTGTTCATCAAACACATCAATAACCAGTCTAAATGTTTTCTTAGCCAGATTTTTTTCCAGGTTAGCCCTAAGGCTCTTTCAGTCTTCAGTAGAAAACAAGCTATAACATATACATGTTTTGTTTTATTTTTTATTAAAAATAAATTAAAAGGACCCATGTGTGTTCCAGGGATAAACACCAGTAGCCTGGACCAATGAGAGTTTATCTGGTCTTATCCCCAGAAATAGAAATGTTAATAGCTCATACCTGGCACCCCCGTGAAGATAGTGGGGCAGGTCCCTCTTGGTTCATGGGGGAAACATTGATTCTGGAAATTTTCATTCTGTTTGTGCTACTTTTCAGGAAGCCTTTCAGATAAAAAGTTTGATGTGGACAAGCGAGCGATGAATCTCGGGGATTTTAACGATATCATGAGGAAGGATCGATCTGGGTTCCGTCCACCTAATTCCAAAGACATGGGAACCACAGATAGTGGGCCTTATTTTGAGAAGGTGAGTGGAATCCTTTGTTTAAGATAATAATTCATGAGAACCGCTTTGGTTCCCATTTGTCTTTTGATAACTGATTCTGGAGAAAGCATAGAATTACTGAACTAGAGAGCAAAACACAGACATCACCTGCATTAAAGTGGTGACCTGAAAACCACCGATGTCAACAAGCGATTAGGCAAGAGCAAGAACCATCTGTCTTTAGCCTGTGTTAGGAAGAAAATCTGAGTTTTGAGAAATTTCATGAAGTGTGGAAATTTTAGAGATAAACTTACTCTGAATTCTTTTTTCTGCTGCTCTATACCTACAAAATAAATTTTGGGATTTTGCGCAAATATTCCATGTCTCCTAAGGCCTTGCCTTCTAGTTTTGAGAGAACTCTGTTGTTACCTTTCCTGAGTTCCCTAGCGATCTGTGTTTAGTTACAATGGTATAACTTTTCAAATTCTCAGCTACCTAATTTAACCAAGAAGTTCCTACCTGTTGGTTTTGATGTTTAATATTTCTAATGGTGGGAAGTATATCTTGATTCAGAATACCAATTTGCCATTTTCCTGGTCTTCAGAAAGCAGCTAAAACCAAAATTTTAAAATCTGGCACGCTTTGACACTGCTGATGCTGGTCCAGACAGCAACATAGTCAGAAGATTGCCCTGGCTTCTGTTGCAACAGCCACATCGCTAGAGTAATCAATATTAGATGCATAAAAATAAAGTGTCTGGCAATTTTTATCTTAATGCAATGGATAGAACGTGTTACTAACCTAGAAGAAAACAAAAATCTATATCAAAGAAGATGACAGATGGTGTCTGTCGGGCCGAGTGTAAAGATTATGATCAGATCCAAATTCCATCCTCGGTTATTGCTAATACACTCTAACTTTGTTTATTGCTAGTATTTCTCTCTTTTCCCTTCTTGCATTCTGTTGCTTCACTAACCAACACTCGTTGTGATTGGCTAACTCCTACTACTTTTCAGCTGACTTTGCCTTTCTCCAATCAAGATGGGTGCCTTGGGGATGAGGCTCCCTGCTCTCCCTTCTCCCCTTCTCCCAGCTACAAGCTGTCTCCCTCTGGTTCCACACTACCCAACGTCAGCCTTGGAGCAATCGGCACAGGGCTCAACCCCCAAAACTTCGCTGCTAGACAAGTAAGGAGGCCTCTCAAATTTATAACTGCTTGGCTATGGCCTCGCCTTGGTCCTGGTCTGCAGTTTATTGCATCATTTGTCTGTCTTGGGAAATTTGTTGATTACTGAATGCACAGAATGATACTAAGTGTAGGTTCTAGATCTTTCAGCCCATAGAACCCATCTCTCTTCATGTTTCTCAACATAGATTTTATTTTAAACCTGTTTTTTTTGTCTTCTCATTTTTGATCATAAGTTCATATTTAATAAGTAAACTAATAACTAAGGAAAATGTTAAAGAGGCTACATAAATACGTTAGACAGTCTAACTTAATGCATTTGCCATTTTAAACATTAGATTGGATAAGTAATACTTTAGAGATCTTTTTAATTTAATACATCTGCTAATTTAAAAATAGCAAAACTAGTATGATTAAGTATTTGTGGGTTACAGCATCTTGAAATCTAGTGTCTTTAAGTTTAAAATATAATAATTACCCACAGAAGGGTAACTTTAAATAGTAGACAGTGAAGCTTTGGAACGAATGGGTATTGCTCAGACATGGCAGTGTTTCATTGCACCCGGGGTTGAATCTGGCAACCCTCCAGCAAGGGGCTGTGCAGTAGAAGCACGACAGGCAGGGCTGGGAGGATCAAGCCTCCTCACCTTCCCAGGCCTGAGGGCGCACAGCAGGGCCCTGTCTGGCTTCCCACAATGGCTCCATTTTAGTTTTTTGGAGAAAACCAGGAATTTGGAGTCACAATTCCTTTGCAACAATAACCCCAGCAGTGATAGCCATGCTTCTGTGATGTGACCTTCACCTTAGGACGTTGTGGGAGGATGTTAATTATACAACTTGTAATTATTAGTTATATCCACATGATGCATATGCGATGATGTTCTGTCTTCTTACAATGACTTCCACATACACATTACATGATAATGTGAAGTAATACCTCTGACACCAGTCAAGTTGCACATAGGTCTCTTATATGCTTTCTAATTGTTGCCTGAGCACATTTTAAAAAATGGATTACGGCCGGGCGCGGTGGCTCAAGCCTGTAATCCCAGCACTTTGGGAGGCCGAGGCGGGTGGATCACGAGGTCAAGAGATCGAGACCATCCTGGTCAACATGGTGAAACCCCGTCTCTACTAAAAATACAAAAAATTAGCTGGGCATGGTGGTGCGTGCCTGTAATCCCAGCTACTCGGGAGGCTGAGGCAGGAGAATTGCCTGAACCCAGGAGACGGAGGTTGCAGTGAGCCGAGATCGAGCCATTGCACTCCAGCCTGGGTAACAAGAGCAAAACCTCCGTCTCAAAAAAAAAAAAAAAAAAAAATGGATTACACTATATCCATGTGTTCGGTTTATTATTTCTGGATTGGGAGTTACAGCTGATTTTTTATTGTCTTCCTTTAAATTTCATCATTTACCTTACTGCTTCCACAGAAGACATAGATATATATTGTTCATATAAACAGGAAAGAAATTATTATATTGATGTTTTGGGAGTTCTTTTATTTTGAATTGAGGTATAGAAACATGAAACAGGCATAACACTCACAGTTAGTGGTGATTATAAATGTGGTAGATCACATGATTATCAAATGCTGTTAGTACATAAACTAGTATAGTAAACCAGCCAAACTAGCCGAGCATTAGGCTCTAAACAAAGGTCATTCTTCTTCATTTTTTTGATCTGTGGATTGCTACAAAGTCCATCGTTAACAAGGTTTCTGCAGATATCTAAATATGGACATGGTTTTTAAAGACTATTTTAATACAGAATTATTTTAATATACTTCATATTAATAAAATTTAAGATTTTTTTGCCAGGCACAGTAGCTCACGCCTGTAATCCCAGCACTTTGGGAGGCCGAGGTGGGCGGATCACCTGAGATCAGGAGTTCGAGACCAACCTGACCAATATGGTGAAACCCTGTCTCTACTAAAAATACAAAAATTAGCTGGGCATGGCGGCAGGTGCCTGTGGTCTCAACTACTCGGGAGGCTGAGACAGGAGAATTGGTTGAACCCAGGAGGTGGGAAGTTGCAGTAAGCTGAGATCATGCCACTTACCTTCCCAGGCCTGAGGGCTCACAGCAGGGCCCTGTCTGCCTTCCCATAGTGGCTCTGTTGTTTTTGTGGAGAGAACCAGGACTTTGGAGTCACGATTCCTGAGTTAAACAGTATAGTTGAAGCAAATATCACTGGACTCAGGTAATTGTAAAAGCCTCCTGTACAACAGTAAAGCTTTAGCAGTAGCCACATAAACCAATATTAGAACATATACAAGTGCCTTATTTTCCCGTTTGTTTTTTAGAGACAGGGTCTTGCTTATGTTTCCCAGGTTGAGTCTCGAACTCCTAGCGTCAGCCTCCCAAAATCCTAGGATTATAGGTGTGAATCACTGTACCTGGCCTATATAAGTTTTTGATTACCGTTTTCATAATTTCTAAATATTTTTAAAGACCAAATCTGTATGATTACCCCTGAGTACATCACTGCAAAAATAGCTTTATTGAAGCCAAGAAAATGAACAGCTTGTGATGCCCAGGTTCCATATTAATATACTGATAAGGCATTTTATGATTGACTATTGTGGACGTAGCTGTTTTGTTACCCATTCCAGATATATATCATAGTGCTTTGTGTGGCTTTAGGGTCACTTGATCATGAAAAGCCTAAAACCTATGGTAGGGGAGGGTGGAAATTGTCTGCTGGGAAGAGGAAAGTAGGAATTGATTTTACAGAAGCTTAAAAAGCAGACTCTTAATTAGCTGGGCATGGTGGCGCGTGCCTGTAATCCCAGCTACTCAGGAGGCTGAGGCAGGAGAATTGCCTGAACCCAGGAGGCGGAGGTTGCGGTGAGCCGAGATCGCACCATTGCACTCCAGCCTGGGTAACAAGAGCGAAACTCCGTCTCAAAAAAAAAAAGCAAACTCTTTTCAATACTTCTTATCAAAGGAGAGGTTGGAATTTAAAATGACCCTCAGGAAGGAATTTTATATTTCCCCAAAAATGGATTCTGGCAGGGACTTTAGCTACCAGTAACCCCACCGTCCAAGGACCAGTCGTGAATAGTTGACATCTAATAACTAAGTCATGACTTTGATGATCAAGTGAGAAAGATCTTAGCACAATATCCTTGGTGAAATAAATGTTTCCTGTTTTCTTAGGGATGATCAGGGTAGCCAAGCTACTGACTGCCACAGTCTGAGGAAAGTTAGGACTGAGCCATTTCACTTTCGAGTGGCAGTCTGATTGGTAAGACAGGAGCAGTAGAGATGTTAGAGTTTCTAGAATTAAAGGCCTACTCATGTTTAAACACCTCTTTGGGGAGACATAAAATTCATGGTGGATATTTGATTTACGAGATAAACAGATTTTAATTGCCATTTCGACTTTATGTTTAGAATCATTTTTATTTTCAATGCTTTTAAGTTCACTAATTTCCCTGTAGCAGTCCCTTAATCTATTTTTTAATCATTAAGCCATCACAGTATTTTTCGTGTTCTAGGACTTAATGATGCCATAACAAAATTCTTTAAAATTACCTTAATCCCTGTGATTCCAGGGATTTGATAATGGTGGTGATTTTGATTCAGGGTATACGTACTCAGTATAGTGATGCAGCTATCTTTGCTGAAGATGTTCAGTGGGACATTTTCCAGTGTGTGGAATTGGTGGGTCATGGATATTTACAAATGATATATTCATCCTACAGACCAGGGCTTTATTGAGTTCTGGGAATACAAAGAGGAAAAGATTTAAGCTGACAGTAGAAAGACAGAATGGAAAATAACCGTAGTGTGGTTTGATGATGAGTGCCCTCAAAGAGTTTTAAAGTATTTTGAAATTGGAGAGATGGGCTCAATTAATCTGAATGTGAAATCAGGAAGATGGTTTTGGGGAAGACTTCCTTGATGAGGATGACCTCCAAACTAGACCTTGAAGAGGTCAAGCGAAGATGGTATCAGAAAGAACCTCAGGCAGAGAGAGCACAGTGTTGTGTTACCAAATACAGTTTCTTTGCTGAAGGACTTTTCTCAGCTAGAAACGAGTCAGCAAGGAAGGGCCACCATATAACCTAAATCTCTTAGTTATTTCATTGGAATAGTATAGAAGTGCTCCAGAGAGTTAGGTCTTCAGAAATGAGGGAGTTCAGCTTATTTTAACTAGACTGATATTCATGGGTTTGAATGAGAAGTTACAGGTGAGTAATGTTTATTTTGGTGTCCCTGTAATGATTTTTACTTTCTCCCTTTTTTCTCTCAATGTGTGATTGAGTCACATTTCCTCATCTAGCAAAGAAGGGATTGAGCAGATCCAGGACAAGGAAGGGTGCTAGGCTCACTCTTGGACGGCAGAGAAGTCATATCGCAGTGTTTTATAAATACAACTGTTAACTATTCATAAGCCTGCATTTTTACTCAGGTGCCTTTCAAGATGGAGCTCAGATTATAAAGCTTGAGAATAAATTTGGGAAACCCAGTTGCAAAGAAGAGTACTTGAAATAAATGCTATGTTGCCTATATCTTTCATTCACAAAAAAGAATGTAGGACTTTTCCTAATATTTGACTAAATTGAACCCTTTCCGTTTATAGAGTTCGTCAAACTGTACAGGTGCCCATGATTCAATTTGAGTATTTGCCCTAAGCCTTCTAAGATAAGGAACTTCTCAGTTATGAAATTCTGTTATTCTGTGGAACACAGCCTGTGATTCTTCTGAGGGCTCTAAAAGACCAGAACTGTTTCTTGCATTTTCTTACGTTAACAGAAAGCCTTACTGCTACTCTTCTGTTTACAGGGCGGTAGTCATGGTTTGTTTGGAAACAGCACAGCACAATCGAGAGGTCTGCACACACCAGTGCAGCCACTAAATTCTTCTCCCAGTCTCCGGGCGCAAGTGCCTCCCCAGTTTATTTCCCCCCAGGTAAGCAATTTTATGTTTCTGCGATTCAGAATTAAAAACCATTTCAGGTAGTTATCAGTTGTTAATTGATTTTTGTGGACATAAAAAGAATAATAGTTACTAGCATAAAATATGAAAAAGCCATTTTTTCTTGACCTTTTGGCTAAGATCAAGTAGAGTAAAATATGAAATACCTAGCTGCCAAAGATCAAGACTTTTAAAACAAAATGTCAAATCTCATTTTTATTGCATCATGCATACCAACAAAGTAGATATTTTTGCGTGAAGAACTTACGAGTCTGTTCCTTTTAGATCTCCTAATTATTTTTCTAACTATATTAATTCTTTTGTAATTGCATATAATTAAAACAACTTTATAAGTTCTGATGTGTCAACGTTCAGAGGCTCTTTGCCCTCAAGGATTCACCCACAGATAAACAAGAGAATTTGGCCTGGCACGGTGACTCATACCTGTAATCTTGACACTTTGGGAAGCCAAGGCAGGCAGATCACTTGAGGCCACGAGTTCGAGACCAGCCTGGTCACCATCATGAAACCCTGTTTCTACCAAAAAACAAAAATTAGCCAGGTGTAAAGAACAAAACAAAAAGCTGGGCGTGGTGGCCACACCTGTTATTCCAGCTACTTGGAAGGCTGAGGCAGTAGAATCATGTACCTGGGAGGCAGAGGTTGCAGTGAGCCAAGATGCACTGCACTCCAGCCTGGGTGATAGAGCGAGACTCCATTTCTTTTTAAAATTTTTTTCTTCCTTTTACTTCCCTCTGGTTGTTTGAGCGAGACTCCATTTAAAAAAAAAATTAAGAATTGCCAGATTCTGCATTATTCTGAAAAATTTTGAGGAGCTGTATGCCAACATTGCAAGTAGGTGCTCTAGGGGGAGTTCTAGAACTAATGAAGTAGCAGAGACTCCTGGACTAAACTCTTATTCATAGAGCAGCTCTGTGCAAGATACAGTCCTTTGGGTACCATGGGAACCAGTTAGGTCTGTCCCTTAGTAGGAGATGTGCAAAGGAGATGTGCAGAGAGATGGTCTTTGCTTTTGGGGGTAAAGGGGAGAGATTTGTGTTAGTCTGCCACACACTTTCCCCATTCCTCTGTGTGAGAAAGCAGGCATGAGGATAGAGTAATAGCTGATAAGCTCATGTGAAGATTTGATAATGTGGCCGTAGTCCCTTCTTAGACTGTCATTTTAATAAACAAAGCTCTGAGTCTGTTTCAACCTGTAAAAGAAGATGGGAATGCTCATTAGATCCTTTACAGGTTGTAAAGGTTCAGTTTCTATTACTTGTTTTTGTATTTTTATTTTTTGGAGATACTCTGTCACTCAGACTGGAGTACGATGGTGTGATTCATAGCTCGTGGCAACCTCGAACTCTTGGGGTCAAGCAGTTCTCCCACCTCAGCCTCCATGTAACTGGGACTACAGATGCACACCACCAAGCTCAGCTAGTTTTAAATTTTTTTTGTAGAAGTGGAGTCTTGCTATGTTGCCCAGGCTGGCCTCAATCTCCTGGACTCCAGCAGTCCTCCTACCTCAGCCTCCCAAAGCACTGGGATGACAGGCATGAACCACCAGGCCCAGCCTGTTTTGTTTTTTTGAAATGCCCTTTAAGACCAGGGCTTAAACTATTTATTTAAAATGATCTATAGATTTCAGATTCTAGTTTTAATATTCTGAGTCTATATCTTTCTTAATGGGGGAGGTCAGGTTCATCCATACCCTTCCCTTACACTCCCCGTCACCACCACCAACTGCCTCTCCAAGGTCTTGCCTGGGAGTCTGGGACTGTGTCCCCTCGGCACCTGTCTTCTTCCTCTTTCCGTCTTTCTAAGTTCCAGTCATTCTTCAAGCCCCAGGTAGTGATATGTCCTTTCGACAGAGCCATCTCTGACTTCCCCAGCACTCTACAATGGCAGTGTCATCGGAAGCTTTGGAGCATACACACACTTTACAGTATTGCTGGGTATCAGGCTGACAGTCATCCATGGATATTAAATGTCTGTTGCATATTAGATAATGTCTTCATCATGCACAGATGGAGAAAATGCCATCTCTGTCTCTCCACAGCCTCTTGGAGTTGGTGGCAGGGGGTGGAGGGAGTTGAGGCGGGGAGGAGGTGATAGAATAGCCAGCAGATAGTGTGAGAAATGTATAGAAATGTTTAACAGAGTTTGGGGAATCTGCTGAGCCTTCACACTACCAGTGACGTTTGAGTCTTGAAGAATGAGTCAGAATTTTCTGAGCACACCAGATTAAAAGTGCCTTCTAAGCAGCAGGAGCCTTATGTGCAAGGGGCAATAATACCTAGAAGAACACAGCATTTTGGGGAAAGGCAACTGATTTGAATAATTAGTTAGAGCTTGTTGAAACATACACTGTCTTAAAATATAAAAGAAAGGAACTAGACAAGAAGTTTGGGACCAAATTTGGAAAAGGTGCTTGTTTTGCTTAGGATTTGGGAGTTTGCCCTAGAGGCCAATCCTTGTCAACATGGTTTACAACCATTATTTGGACTGCTGCTTAAAGACACAGTCCCCAGGTCTCTGCCAATCTTCTGTGACAGGTGGCTTTGGGGCTTAGTCACCTGCATGTCATCTTTATGTGCACTTAAAGTTTGGCCACTGCTGTAGACAATATACTGTTAAAGATTTTTCAGCTGAGTGGCTCATGCCTGCAATAGCCCTTTGGGAGGCTGAGGCAGGCAGATCCCTTGAACCCAGGAGTTTGAAATTAGCCTGAACCACATAGTTAAGACCCGATCTCTACAAAATTTTTTTTAATTTTTAATTTTTTTTTTTTTCGAGGCAGAGTCTCGCTGTGTCTCCCAGGCTGGAATACAGTAGCATGATCTCAGCTCACTGCAACCTCCACCTCCTTGGGTTCAAGCAGTTCTCATGCCTCAGTCTCCCGAGTAGATGGGATTACAGGTGCACGCCACCACACCCGGCTGATGTTTGTATTTTTAGTAGAGATGGAGTTTCACCATGTTGGCCAGGATGGTCTGGAACTCCTGACCTAAGTGGTCTGTCTGCCTCGGCCTCCCAAAGTTCGGGGATTACAGGCATGAGCCACTGTACTTGGCCTATAAAAAATTTTTTTTTATTTATTCAGGCATGGTGGTGTGCACCTTAAGTTCCAGCTACTCAGGAGGCTGAGGTGGGAGGATAGATTGAGTCTGGGAGGCAAGGCTGCAGTGAACCATGATCAGGCCACTGCACTCTAGCCTGGGAAAACAGCAAGACCCTGTCTCAAAAAAAGAAAGAAAGAAAGAAAACCCTGGCAGTAATATAGAAGACCTGTTTGAATGGCAGGAGTGCTAGAGCAAAGGAGAGCATCTGCAGAGCTAGTACAGAGACCAGGTAAGGCAGTGACAGTGAAAGTTAACCCTTTCGTGGAAGTCACCTCTGATCTTTTTGTTGCGTAATATGATGATCTGTTCTCCAGTCTCTTCTTACTCCGCTGTCAGCAGCATTTGTCAGTTTCCCTCCTTTCTGAAACACTTTATGCATTTGGCTTTTGGACACCTACTACACTGGTTCTCCATCTGCCTCTCCATCTCCATCTCCTTTACAAGCTCCCCCTAAGGTTCCCAGTACTTAATCAGCAGAATGCCCCAGATCTCAATCTTTGAACCTCTCCTCACCATCTGTAGTCACTGCCATGTGATCTTACCCAGTGGAATGCCTTTAAAGCACTAAATTCCAAAATTGTGTCTTCCGCCCACATCTTTTTTCCTCAACTCCACAGACTACTGGACATATCTCCTAGGGTGCCTTACAGGTTAACATGTTCAAAACACAGCTTCTGATCTCACCCCACACTGCCCTCAAAAACATCCCCACACTCCCAGTAAATGGCACTCTCATTCTATAGGAGTTCAGGCCAGAGACCTTGGAGCTAGTCGTGACTCCTATCAGTGACCACGTTCATTCCATCAGTAAAACCTCCCATCAAACCTTTATTCAAAATCGGACTCTTTTTCACCACCTCCCACAGCACAGGCCCTGGCCAAGCCACCACCGATTCTGTCCAGGTTATTGCAATGACTTCCTGCCTTTTTTTCACCCTGCTTCGTTCAACACTTGCCGGTCTGAAGTCTGAGTCAGACTGATCTCTGACACCGCACTGTCTAATGTGAAAGCCACATCAGCCCCTGAGATGTGGCTACTACGCTGCAAGAACTGAATTTTACATTTTATTTTAATTAATTTAAATAGCCACATCTTGTTAGTAGTCACTGTGTAGACAGCACAGATGTAGAATATGTCAGTGTTGCAGGAAGTTCTGCACAGCGCTGTTCTAAAACAAAAGGCAGATTGTGTTACTGTTTTACCAGGAATCCCCTTTTGGCTAGTTCTCACTGAGAAAGCAAAGCAGAGGCAAAGTCTTGAACTCTAGGCTTTGAGGTTCTTGGTGATTCCCACCTCCCCACAAGTACAGGCCGCTCTCCCGTACTTTCATACTGCCCCAGCCAACTGGCCCCAACATACCAAGCATACTCTTAGAACGCTCTTTTCCCATATGGCAGCCTGGCTCGATCTTTATTTCCTTCAGCTCTCTGCTTCACTGCCACCTTCCCTAGAAGCTTTCTCAGGGCAGCTACGTACAGTGTGCTGCCTGCCGTGTCACTCTCACTCGCACGCTTACTCCTTGTCTTTCTCCCTCCCTGGCCTGCCCCTAGGAGTGTAATAAGCTTCACAGCGGCAGGGTCTGGGCCTGCTGTGTTCACAGCTGGAGCCTGAGCATCAATAGCTGTGCAGGGCATGTATTTTGAGCTCAGTGAATATATACCAGGTCATGTGAGGATGTATATCAGGATGATTTCAAAAGTGGAATTGTGGCCGGGCGTGGTGGCTCAAGCCCGTAATCCAGCACTTTGGGAGGCCGAGGCGGGTGGATCATGAGGTCAAGAGATCGAGACCATCCTGGTCAACACGGTGAAACTCCATCTCTACTAAAAATACAAAAAATTAGCTGGGCATGGTGGTGCGTGCCTGTA